TAGAGGAAGAGATATGTATGCATGCCTGTTTTGGGAAAGTAACTTCCTCGACTATGCGCGTCTTACGGGGGAAGCCTGGCAGCACTCCGGAGAGCGAGATGGTTCACCCAATGGCTTTAAGCATGTCATTAGCTTTGCTGCTGTCACAAGCGCTTGTGTTGGGCTCACACTTTGGGGATGACGGTTCCTAGACATCTCGTAAGATGCACTTATGCCTCTCCCGTGTATCCACGTGTCTATATGTCTGTCTGCGTATCTTGTACCCATTTGAAAGTACAATCGTCAATATATGAATATGTAGATGTGTGTGTGTGTACGTGGCCTGCTGCTGTACAGTGCATGTCCTTGACAAGGAATGCCACCAGCTTGGAACCCCGTTGTCCTGGGCCTTAATAAGTAGGAGCACCTAGGACCTAAATTGAAGTCGTACCTTCGTAGTTCCCGGTCTCACGGTAAACTTCACGTGTTCCGGAATCTCGATCGTTCGCTCATGTGGGCTCAAGCCCCTAGTCTTACCGGGCGGACGAAGGCCCTGCACATCATCATCAGCGCTGGCCGCTGTCTTTATGCAGCACGCAGCATTCATGCTGCAGCACCACTCCTCCCAACAGACGTCCTAAACCCTAAACTAATTGCACATGAGTTTCTTCCCCCACTCCGACGGCACTTCTGCGAGGAGGGCTCTTGGAGTTGGCTTCAGCCTTCCAGGCGCAGGGCTCGGCCGGCGCCTCGAACGGCTTCCCACAAGGGGCGCATGATGATTGGCATGGCGGTCGTGATTGCTATTGTTATTGATATCAGCACTATCGTTGTTTTTTTGCATATTACATCACCGTATCATACTAGACGTCAGTGCATATACGAGCAGCTATGAGTTGTACCCGAACTAGAACCTTAAGGACGACTCCTTATCAAGACTACTGAGACAAGACCCTACCTGAGTCGCTCCTGGCCTGCTCCGAGGCCAAAGAAGCCGAAGCCGTGAGCATCAACAGCTGGTGGTACCTCTTCTGCGGCGCCCAAGGATGAGTCTTAATCAGGCTCTGTGCAGCATCAGCCGGGTAGCTGTTTGCAAGCCCGGGCTGTGTAGCAGCTGTCTGCTGTCTGGACTGCATGCGAGAGCTACGGAAACAAACCGCCTCGGAATGCAGCACAGATCCAGTGATCGAGCAGTTAATGCTTAACTGCATTGCTGCTCCACTCCAGCAAGGCAGCAAAGCCTTAATCATAAGTGAGCTGGTGATGCTACACAGCGGTGTAGCCGCCGATGCGTGTGCGCCCAGTAGAAAGCAGTGACGGGAAGTGCGAGCTTGCAGCGCACGCTGGGAACTTGCAACGTCCGCGGCATCTTAGGTGCTGGTTGGGCAACGGCGGTTATGACTGCGACTTCCGTGGCGTGTTGCTGGCCTGGTTGTGCACACAGACACGTTGAGAAGATGGCGGACCTTTGTGCCAGGGCAACCAGAATGGCATTGCCGTGGAGGCCTTTGTGATGCTGGCCGCTTTTCTCACGTGGAGGGCAGACATGTTAAATTTAATCTTTGTCGCTGTCCCGCGGTGTCTTGCCCAGACGGATGGAGCTCCGACCCTAGCAAGGTGTACGGTAACACGCGCGAGCAGTCAGTCTGTTTTTGGTAGCTGAGTTGGTTTCCTGTTTTGCTAGGTGCTGCTAGATGACATAGATTATTGGCGATCTGTGGGCTTTGACATCTGGTGCAGGCTGCGCAGAGGCTGCAGCATGGAAAGGCCCCGAAGCACGTTGCAGAACGTTTGCAGTCGACTGAAGGAGGGGGAAGTGTGAATTCGGCAGGTGCACGTGATGAAAAGCCTTGTTGGTATCAAAGTAAACAAGTTACTTGGCTGCATCTGGAACAGTTCAATCCCCGAAGTCCTACAGGCCCGAAACTTCAGGGCCGATCCTGAACCCTGGAACACCCGAACAAAGCTCAGCGACCTCCAGGCCTCTTGCATGCTGATGGCAGTGTTTGCAGTAAGAAGTGATCGGGACCGGCTCCGAACCGAAAGGGTGCGTCATCGGAGGAATCGAACATCCGGAGCTGGAACCAGCAGTGTCCTGACAAGCACATCTGAGGCTTTACAACTTTGGCCTCTATGCCGAAGGGTCGCAGGCCACCGTTGTGGGTGCTGTGAGCACCAGAGGAGACTTGTTTCACAGACTCCTGTCGTTGTGGACCACCTCTTGCTTCTTGTTCTTTGCCGTCTTGCCCGGCTGTCTTGTTTCGCATCTGGTGCGCGGCTTTTGCACAGGAACTCAGCATCTCTCGATGTAGAGATTGGCGCAGCTCCAAGCATCCCAGGGCTGTAGCAAATCCCTCTGCCGAGTCGGGAGCCACATTGGGGGATCCAGATGGGAAGGAAGTGCAACCGAACCTGTCTCACACTCACGGAGGTGTTATTCCAGCATCAGCTGCCTCGCGCTTACGGTGCCTTGTGTCAAGACCCAGTACTGTTGCTCTCCACGTTGCCCGTGTCGGTTCGTAAGATCTAGTTGATGAGGCGAGTACTGGCAGTACTCCAAGAACGATGGTTGCTGGGCCGGGACCTCCAGGAGGTGTAGCAGAGCCTTGTTGGCCCTGTTCGTTGTAACAGAGGCTGCGCCGAAGAGGCAGCACCTGTGCAGTCATTGGTACATAGTCCGAAGCTCAAGAGATCCATTGCTGAGGTAGACGCACCTTCGCTGAGTAGCAAGCCTGCACCTTACTGGTACCAACAACCGGCAAATTCTGCTCGTGACTGGCCTAACAAATGCCCGTAAGTGCGTGATGTGCAACCTAGACGCACGTACAAGACAAGGAGAGGGAACGATGTAAGCAATGTCGTCGACTACCCCTTGACGGCCGCCAGCGTTACGACTGGCACGCCTGAGGCGGGTCCTTCAAAAGCCTTCGGAGGTGTAAGGTTGACTAGCTAGCCACCCATATCTTAGCAGTAGTAGCAGAAGCAGCAACAAGAAGCAGCATCACCACAACAAGCAGACGAAAGAAACAGAAAAAGGAGAGGGGTAAGAAGAAGATGACAACGACGACGACAACAACAACAACAAGCGGTCCAGGTCAAGATCAACAACAAGAAGAAGAGCAGCAACAACAACAACAGCAGCAACAACAACAGCGACAGCGACAGCAACAGCAGCGGCAACGGCAACAGCAACAAAGGGAACAACCACGACCGCAACAACAACCACAAACCAGCAGCGGCAGCAGCAACAAAATTCAAGCAACAAACAACGAACGACTATATAACAGTAATCGACAAGCAACATTAAGAAGAGCAAGAATACGAACAGCAGCAACACCAACGTAAACACGACACTTAAGACCATTGCGCTGATGTTGGTACTGGTGACGGCGGCAATGGGAAGAATTGTCGTGGCATGATAAACAAAGTACCGGTAACGGCAAAAAGGAGCGATAGTATTGATATGTGTCTCTTGGGCCTACATGAAATTCGGTTTGCATTGGATCCGGCATGCCATCCGAACCGGTGCATCGGGTTTGAGGGGTCAGGCCTTCAGGTCTATATAGTATACTATGTAGATGCATTATAGGGCTCAGCCGAGAGGCCAACAGCATGATTGCTGGGGAGTACATCACGCATTACTGCCCGCCGCAGCAGGCTGGGAGACGGGAGGGACTGGGAAGATCTTTCTCTGGGGCGCCCCAAAATACTTAGAGGCTAGAGCTGTCTTCTCTTGGCTGTGTTTCTGAAGGCTTCATTGTGAGGACTCCAGATCTAGGAGTGAAATAAGCCAAAACGGGAACCTGGCAACATGATGATTTACTGGCCGACTAGTCGTAATCATCACCAGTCAGCCGATCGGTATAGGCTCGGGGTCTTTGGGCTGACGTCCCTCAAATTCAATTACGATGCATCTTTGCGATGTGACGCGACCTGCGCTCAGGTTCCCATTCCAATTGTTGCCGGCAGCTCGGTGAGCCTTGCATGTTGTGGAGAGAGAGAGAGAGAGAGAGAGAGAGATATCATGCTCTAATTGTACACGAAAGCGGGGGACAGGGTCACTCCTGTGTTGCCACAATTCTGTGCATGTGTTTGCGAAAACAGTTAAGGAACCCGGTCATTCTAGAGTCCAATATATTCCCTTTGCCTAAAACGGGGGACTTACTGTGTTTTCACGCCTTCCCACAAGCCCCAGAACACATGGGGGGCCTATGAGACCGCGGGGCCTAAACAGCCCCTTAAGCCCTGCGGAAGAAAGAGAGAGAGAGAGATAGATAGGAAGAGAGCGTAAGACTCTGCTTCGGCTGCAGATCCTCGCGGCTTCTCCAGAGCCAGGCAAGCAGCTTCGTCGCTGATCGCAAGCCTGCCTCGTCGACTCCCAATCCAACGGCCCGAGCCTCAGACGTCACCAGCTTGAAGAGCCCGAGAGCGAGGGCTGTAGTTCCGTTGACGGAGTCAGGTCCTCATTCTTTCACTGCTGCTGGTGGCAGCTGCCATAGGACCGGATGGTTGTTGATTTTAGACAGGTTTGTGTGTATGATAAGTGAAGTGTTGAGCCCGTTTGTTGCCTCAGGAGGATTGGCCTACTACTGCATCGCTGTTGCAGGTCTGCTTCTCAGACTTGAGCTCACCAAGACAAGCGCAGACTCCGTTCCTCAGCGACAGAGGGGTGCATGAGGCAAGAAGCGCAAAGGTAGAGATCGAGTGGGTATCAGCCTCAGCTTCGAGCTCTCGGGCGTCGTCTTTGAGAACTGGTCACACTGAGACTTGTGAAGATGCAGACTGTTCGACATATTCGCGACACTCTGGTGCACACTGCCGCTTCTGCTCGATGACCGATGGGTGCAGCTGTAGACAGCAGCAGAAGTTTGCTTAGGTTTTTGTTGGCTGGACATCACCCGAGCAAAAGCACCAACAAGGAGTAACTACTGGGAATCGCGCAGATGCCAGCAGTTTGAGTGCAGGTCAGTGCCGTCAGTGTAACTGTGCAGTAGAAGGTTGTGGAAGACATCCAGTTCGCAATGCAAACGGCACTGCCAGCCTTGGACATAGGGTCCATTCGAGGAGGATCGGCCCTGGCAGTCATTCGAACGCTCTTGCTGACTCAGCTCTAGTTCTCGGCAACTCTTTGAGTGCTCTAAGCAGGCAGCCAAGCATCACAGGCATCTTCCCGGCCTGCCACGTCGCGGTCCAGGCGGGCAGCCTGACAAAGGAGAGCTCTCGCAGAGTCGCCTTGTCGTCTCAGGCGCAGCCACGGCAGCAAAGGCAGTGCCAAGGCAGCGGAAGCTGCGAGGGTCGAGGCTGGCCCACCCGAGGACAGGCTTCCGAGAAATGCTTGTTACTGTAGGAGCTTGCTTAAGCTTAATGTACCGTCTTGTGGCAAACGGTGCTAAGGCTGCTAAGGCGAGGGTATCATGGCACAACAATGATCGACTATAGCTTAAGATGAGTTCATGGGCAAGAGCCTGCACAATCTCATCAACCGGTGCATTGCACTGCAAATAGGAGGGGCCCCGACCAGCAACCAGCCCGGGCAGCATTCATAACTATGGCTGGGACCGAGACGTCACCAAGCGGCTCCTTGGCGGAAGATCGGCGCGAGAGGACTGAAGACAAGAACAATTAAGAAGGGGTTTAGCAGATCAGCTCTCTTTCTGTGTTTGTTCAAGCACATGCTGGACAGTCAATCGGAAATGGGAGTTTGGTCCATAGCATCATACTTGGCTTTCCTTTCAAAAGCGGCCATCCGAGCTTTGAGGTTCAAAGAGCTTGGGCAACGCGACAACGTCGGCATCTTGATGGGCAGCGCTCCTCACTGGTCCAGCGCACCGGAAGCCTTGAAAATTCTCCAGGCACTCCGCGCACAAAGTAAGTCTCGTTCATGGTTTCCCCTGGTTACATCCTACAGGAGGGAGCCATGCTCTGTCAAGAGTAACAAGTAGAGATAAGTCCATGTGGCCTGGTCATTCCCTCACCACCCCGGCGGGTGCACGTAAACTGGTTTGAAACGGGCCTTCCAGTCCCGGCTTCCGTTCAATACCTTAAACTTAAACCCTACAGCATCCTAACACCCCAAACCCCAAAAAACCTGGAAACCTAAATGCAAAAATGCTCGAAGCACCAGAAGTCCCCAAAGGCTTAGAAGCTCCAAAAAAGCCGGGAACCCAAAAGCTTCTAAAACTCAAAAGCTTCCTGGGAATGGTCAGGCTACGGCGCCGGCAGCGAACTTCGACTCGACCATGAGGTTGCGCGAAGACATGTTATGCTTAAAGTACAGTATAATGCATACTATCATATATGAAAACATACTACCATATGCTATAAGATACGTGAGGGTTTAGGATTTTGGTTTGGTTCAGCATGTGAGGGCTCAGACAGGGCCGGGGGTGTGTAGGATGGTACAGGAATGTGGGGGATAAGGATGGTTTAGGAATTGAGGGTCTGGTTTGAGGATTTTAGGGCTGAATCTGTTATGGCGAGACCCTAAGCCTGTATGGCTCGTTTCCCCAAAGCCACAGACAGGTCAACTCACACCTTCGAGATTGCCGTTACGCCACGGGACCTGTTGCACATCGCGAACAACAGGCTTGGCTCACCCCCTCATGCATCCTTATGCAAGGAATGGATTGCAAGACATGATAAAGAGCCCTGCTGACATTCGTTTATGGTTGAAGGGATGTTAGTAGTATGTTGCTTTCTTGAGGAGGTTTCGGCTCGGGCCCAGGGGTCACACACTCTAGTGCATAAGGAGAGGACAGACGAAAGCTGGATTGGGTAGTTGCGGGTACCCTCAAATCTGGCTCAAAACTGGATTTCGCCTGCACTCTTCTGAAAGCACCTTTAGAGTTTCATAAGAATAAGGGACTCCTCCGCTGATGCAGGCTGTTCTTGGTTGTGGTTCATCCTGTAGCGCGGCACATGACTGTCTCATATTACCTTTGGGTATCTCGTTCAGTACACCTCCAAGGGCAAGCTGCCAGTTTGCCAAGTGTGCCTCCACCTGAAGGGTGAAAGCGCTGCTTCGTTGCCAGGCGCCGTGATGTCATGACCGAGTTTCAGCAAGTCCTTCGTGTGCAAGAACCGATGCTGCGCAAACTGAGAAGGCTGTAGACAAGGGCTTTCAGCTGAGTTTACCTGCACGGATACTCTTCCGTCGCCTGGCAATGTCTCAGGTGTGTGTGTGTGTGTGTGTGTGCGCTTTGCATAACCGTGGTGTCACGAACTGGATGTGCCAAAATCTGGAATGTCTGTCCGACATTCATTGGTGGTTGCAGAGGTGGGTGACTGAACAACAGTTGCCCCATGCTGCTGCAGTGAAACCGAAGTCAATTTGCAATATGCTGCAACTCTACGAGAAAATCTTGAGAAGCTTGCATGTGCGTGTATGGTGTTAACTGTTATGAGCACGGTGCCCAAGATGGCAGCTGCGAGGCCTTGCAACTACTCTCTCCAATTTGAGGGATGACTGGTCACGTTTTCCCGGGTCGGAGCCGGATTCCACCAGCGGCATCAATTCGTCAAGTAGTCGGTACTGTCGAAAGGACCTGCCTCGTGCTTTAGTATCAGGCCCCGTACACTCTAAGTCCCAACACATCTCTAAGCCGAAACAGCTCGACATCCTAGCCCACCACTCCGCAGCCCAGGAAAGCTTAGTTAGCATCCCAGAACATGTATTGACACGCACCAAAGGTGCGTCTCGGCTGGAGGGGCGAAGAAATTGTGATGGCGTTCTGCATAGTACCTTGTTGCATGCATATGTATGTGTATATATGTATACATACGTTACATACACACACACACACATATATATATATATATATATATATACATGCACATGAATGTGTGTATGTTCATATCCTCTGTATATCTGTTTATAACTATATAAGCAAATGTATAATTGGAAGTGTGGGGAACCTCTGCTCTCAGGCCTACGTCAACAGTCTGAGGCGGACGAGGACGATAACGGGCTCGACAGAGACTACGTACTTGATCTCCGAATGCCCTCCTCATGCAAACAGTTGGAAGCGACGAGGATGACGATGATGTCACTGCCGCCAAAATGGCCGAGAACCCAGTTCTCACCGCGTCGCCACATCAGTCCAAAACGAGTCATTTCGAAGACATTCTGTCTCGATGCGCGCAAATTCCGTGTGCTCATGTCGATGCCATGCATCAATGAGGCAAACTACAGTGGATACCAGCATGGGGCCAAGAGTTTTCCAGCGCAACGGCAGAGCAATGATACCATCTGGTTTAATTGACCCTTTCAAGGATTCTAGACGGCATCTCAAAGCAGCCTCCAGCTACAAGTAGCTCAAATCTCGCGTACCCAAAAACCCCAGGAACTCCAAATGCGCAAAACGCGGAACGCCCGAACACCCTGAAACCTTGAAGCCCTGAAGTATGCAAACATCGCTAATCGCTACCAACACAAAGCCTTTCTAAGGCAGGCATCCTTCCAGCAGCCACCCTCTCCGCCGAGGTCCAACAGCTCAGTCTTCTTTGGGCTTGCAGAGGGAACTCCTAAAAGCATACACCATATGGAAAAAATCCAGCAAGAATAGCCAGAATAATAGTATTAAAGATATCAGCAGTAACAATGACAATAGTAACAATAATCATGGTAGTAACACAAATATGCAAATGTATAGTACGTAGATAGATCAGTTGTCTAACGTATGCCGCTGCTGAGATTTCTGCAGGTATCCTCAACAAGGCGGCTACGGCGGTCAACCGCCCACGCAAAACTTCCAGGCCCCAGCCGAGGGCCTTCCAAACCCGCGGCAGAGTGCTGAAAATCCGATAAACAATAATATTAATAACGCTAGTAAGAATGATAAGTGCAATACTATAATGGTAGCAGGCTGAGGAGCTGCCGGCTTTGAAGTGCGGACTTGTGAGTGATTTGAAGGGGTCGTGGAAGTGATCCCGCGAACGCTCTGCAGACCCCGGCCCCTCTTCTCAACCAGGTCGCCAGCTCAGTTGCAAAATATGCTGCCATGCAGGATGCTGCTTTGTGCCCGTGGGATGGGACCTATGCCGATGCCAAAACAGAAAGCAAATCGTTGTGTTCTCCCTCCAGCCGGCTGACGTTTCTTAGATTGTCTCGCTCTCTGAACTCTCTGGTGAAGAAGACGCACAATTCAGTAACTTTAGCTCATCTTGCAGCTTGCCGATTCGCAAGTCTGCACCTTCGATGAACTGAGGGAGCTCCGTATGCTGCGGGCGGCGGCATGCGACCGAACTACAGCGGCCAGTACGGAGGCAGCTTCAGATGTGTCGAAGCGCATGTGTCACTGCCTAGCAAGCTCGTGCGCTATTGTGAGGCTACAACGCTCGCGTTATGTGAGAAGAGACGGCCTTCATCTCGGCTTCTGCCGTCCATAGCTTTTGGCTTTTGTTACGGGCATCATCGGGCACGTACCGTGCGCCCGACAGGCCTTCCCACGTATAGTTCGTCATCGAGGTTCGTCTTGAACCCTCATCGAAGAAGCATGAAGAAGCATGGGCGCAGAACCGCAGCAACCGTCCGAGTTGATATACTAGACTATCTGATTGCACCCGTTTCGACTGCTACACGAGTCGTTGCGAACTCAGATGGTTCAAGACCACCCTTGCATACTCTGGTGATGGAGCCGGCGCAGTGGCAAGCTACAAGTACCAACATCATACACTGAACAACTGCAGTATAGGACGTACTCAATGCTACGCCCACAGTCTCGGAGCCAGCTCCACGACGCGCTGGCTTCTGAATTCGACATTGCGTACCATACAGATCTCACGATCAAATCTTTATAGTAAAAAAATCGCCAATGAGGGTCGAAACAACGCACTTCCCAAGGCTGCCGGGCCGTCGCACCCAAAAAACCCGAAATCCCTAAGCCCTACATCCCCAATACCTGAAAAGCCGTAGTCTCCCTTAAGCCAAAAAGGGCGCAGAATAACCGAAGCTCTGATGAAATCCTGCGCAGCCTTGCCGGAGAAAGATCTTGCAGCCGGGCCTCTGGATGCTAGCGAAGCGGAGTGCCAAAGAGCCAGAAAAGGGATAAGTAGACGGGTTGTAAAGGTGTAGGATTGTGCGGTTAAAGATTTTGAGCAACTCACGGTTTGTCAAAATACCCTCATCATCTGCCCATCATTCTTCACAAAACATTCGACATGTACTTGCAGCCCATTTGCCAAGATCGCATCGACTCCGACAGAGATGTGCGCACTTGCGTGCCACTCATGACAATGCTTGAAACCGAGACAGCCTCCAGGCCCCAGGCATTCTTCAGACGTGGTCGGCAAGAGGCTCCCATGTTCCTTCGCTCTTCACAAAGCCGTTTTCAACATTTATAGGAACCCAAATAAGACATTCCTACCTCACTCAGTCGGCAGCCTGGACCTAGCCTGCCAAAACCGAGTTCTAAAACACGATACCGTGGAGATGAAGGCATCAGATTCACCGGGTCCACTTGTACCAATCCACTTTCTCTTCTGGTAATCAGGAGCATCAATGTGAAGCAAGCTGCGATAGCATCGTCCATTGTGTCAACTATGTCCCCGCAAAAGCGACGGACATGCTGCGGGCGTCGCGCTGCCACTGCAGCAGCACTGCTGCTGAGTGCCTCCCAGCGTCTAAGCCAAAGCCTGGTGCAGATCAAGGCAAGCCTCCTGGGGTCCTAGAAATGATACGCAGCCTTCTAAATAGCCCTAGAGAGATCACCGCTTTCCATTGCTATCCTGTGCCTTTCTTCTCTCCTTCGGCGCTCCCTGCGAGATCGCACCAACGACACGCACCTCGCTACGGGCAGAAGCTCCGAAACCACCAGGCCGAAGGGCTTGCAATGCAAACCAGACGGGAGTCTCAGAATCTGCGGGGTACTAGTAGCTGTCTACACTGTTCAGGGTATGTGGTACCGGTTCATGACCACGCATGACGTCGAGGTCATACAAGAGCATACCTACTGAAGCGCTTCAGCCAGGCCGTGAGTCCTCCTTGACCAGCGCTTTGGGAGCCCCTGAGCTTTGGATGCCCTCGAGTCCTTCCGACTCCAAGATTGCAAACAGGAAGGAAGAGGCGCTTTTGAAGGGCTCCGCAAGCCCGTGCTATGCCCGTGCGCCCGCCCAGCTTGCCCGCCTGCATATCCGCATAGCTGCAAAGTCTTCCCTGCAAGGCCTTTACAGCTCAAGCTGTCTTGGAATGCGCGAAGAGTGGAGATGGCCGTCGAGCAGCACGATGGCTCGAGTCTTGCCTGTAAGAATGTCAACAAGCAGAGCTAGTGTTCGGGTCTGGTTGGGTCTTGTGGGGGACGGACGAGTCATTCCACCCTCAAGTAGCCCAGGCAGGGTTTACGCCCCACGCACGCGACACGCGAAAACCCTACAACCCTGAACCCGAAACCCATTCGCCACCAGCCCAGGAGGTAATGCTGAGCAGGGGCCTCCTGGAGGAAGAGCGCCTCTTCTGAAATGATCCTCAACCCGGAACCACAACGCCAAAACGCCATAGTCCATATTGTTGCAACTTGTCGGCACATTGAGCAACTCCGCCGTCAGCACGTTGTGTTGAAATTTCTTACCTCCATCTGTCACTTCCCCGGAAAAGCAAACATGGACCAGGAGCTCCAGTTTGGTTTTCTGTGCCGTGGCACAAGCTCTGGCACAGCAGGCCATTGCATGGGAGAAAAGTACATTTGACGAGTCAGAGAAGACCAAAATCCCTGACAAATATGGTATGCTCTTTGGATTCTCGTGGTGGATGCTTAGGAAGAAACCCTAGGTTGGGGTAGTACGGAGTTTCCGGCGTTGCAGAGACCACGGTCACGGTCATGCCGAGAGCAGAAGTGTAGCAGCACAATGGCAGAGAATGGTAGCAAGAATAGCAGCAAGCCAATAGTCGCACTGGCTCGCTGTGATAAACATTATGCACTAAGGCACTAGAGGGTTGGCGAACTGCAGCAGCAACAACAACTGCAGCAGCAGCAGCTCCAGCGCAGCCAAGCAGTAGGGGCACATGACGAATTTTGAAGAGCTGAACGCCGCTCAGGGCTTTGGCGTGGCTGCCAGCCGATACCTGCAGCGCTGCATGGACATGGGCCAGACGCCGGAGGTTCACACTTCTATGATTCTGCTTGAAAGGGACTAGGGAATATGAGAACAGGGGAAAGAGGGTAGAGAATTTGAGAACAAGGAGCAAACCGCTGGAAAAAGAAGACGCAAACTGTTTGAAAGGGACTGGGGAATTTGAGAACAGGGAGCAGACCGCTCGAAGGAGACTAGAGAGTTTGAGAACAAGGCGCAAACTGCTCGAAAGGGACTCAGGAATTTGAGAACGGGGAGCAAACCGCTCGAAAGAGGGTAGATAATTTGCGAACAAGGAGCAATCCGCTCGAACGAGACTAGAGAATTTGAGAACAAGGGGCCAACCGCTCGAAATCGAGTAAAAAATTGAGAGCAAGGCGCAAACTGTTCGAAAGGGACTAGAGGATCTGAGTACAGGGAGCAAACATGAGCAAACCGCTCGAAAGACAGTAGAGACTTTGAGAGAACAAGGAGCCCACCGCTCGAAAGCGACTAGAGCATGTGAGAACAAGGCGCAAATTGCCCGAAAGGACGAGGGAATTTGAGAACAGGGAGCAAATTGCTCGAACGAGAGTAGAGAATTTGAGAAAAAGGAGCAAACCGCTCGAAAGTGATTAAAGAATGTGAGAAGAAGGCGCAAACTGCCTGAAAGGGACTAGGGAATTTGAGAACAGGGAGCAAACCGCGCGAACGAGAGTAGAGAATTAGTCAGAATTAGAGAACAAGGAGCAAACCGCTAGAAAGAAACTGGAAAATTTGAGAAGATGACACAAGTTGCTCGACAGGGACTGGGGAATTCAGAACAGGGAGCAAACCGCTCGAAAGAGAGTAGAGCACTCGAGACAGGGAGCAAACCGCTCCAAAGACACTAGAGAGAATGATAACAAGGCGCAAACTGCTCGAAAGGGGCTAGGGAATTTGAGAACAGGGAGCAAACCGCGAGAGTAGAGATTTCGAGACAAAAGACAAACCGCTCCAAAGAGACTAGCGAATTCGAGAAGAAGGCGCAAACTGATCGAAAGGGATTAGGGAATTTGAGAACAGTGAGCAAACCGCTCGACAGAGAGTAGATAGAGAAAGTTGAAAGCAAGGAGCAGCCCACCAAAAAGAGGCTACAGAACAAGGCGCAAACTGCTGGAAAGGGACTCCGGAATTTGAGAAGGCGGAGCAAACCACTCGAAGAAGAGTAGATAGAACAAAGAGCAAACCGTGCTGAAGGAACTTGAGAATTTGAGAACAAGGCGCAAGCTTCTCGAAAGGGACTAGTGACTAGGGAAGTTGGGAAAGGGGAGCAAATCGACGGAGGGTAGAGAATTTGAGAACAAGGAGCAAGCCACATCAAGCGGAAGAGAGTGGAGAACTTGAGAACAAGGAGCAAGCCGCACAAAAGAGACTAGAGAATTTGAGAAACAGGCGCAAACTGGAGAACAGGGGTAACTATCAGTACTGCGCGTCAACACGACGAATACCACTGGAATAGCAATATGGTACGGTGGTACAATGCAGAGTATGATCCTTACCATCAAGGTTTCCCGACTCCTACAGCTGCTCGTGTTGACCACAGTCACAAAGCATTGTGCCGAAAGAAGGCAGGTCAATATGCCTGGAGGGCTCCCACCTTCTCTGAAGGAGTTTAGGGAATGGAATGTAACGTAGGGAGCAGAAACGTTGCTTTTTGCTCAGGCTGAGGTTTTCCGAAGAGTTCTTCTCGAGCTTGAGCAAGGTCGGGCGCCAGCACGCTACATGCTTGCCGATGTTCGCATGGCTCAGAAAATTTGATAGCCATATGCTAGCCATTGCAACCCAGGTGGAGCCACAGATGACGCGAATGATTTCGTGCTGTTGCATGAGCACTGCCGGCCTGGTTACAGTAGTCCTTGCACTTCGCTGAAGTGTGCCGCCTGAATGTCAACAACTCACCGTTCGAGTCTTCGGAACTCTTGCTATGATCACCCCAGATGTGATAACGAAGTTATAGCATGGAGAATGTATGGAGTCTACCACAAGCCTCTCAGATTCCCGAATCTACCGCTTCGGGGGCTGGCGACGGTTTGGATGCGCTCCCCGTGGCGAGGCAAATGCGACTTGCTGGCCACCTTCCAGATCTCGACTGTTGCAAAGCTGTTCTGCGCAGCTTAGGCCTGTTTCGCGACTGCAGTCGCAAACAGACAACATGAACACACGCAACCTGCAGCGACAAGGCTTATTGCCTGTTTCCTGAAAAGCTCCCTGGATTTCTGGCATGTTCTGGAGGTGAGGCGAACGAAAGCCTGGATGCTGCGGTAAGGTGGGGGGAGTCTTCAAATCAGGGAAACCGTTTGGGGTCCTGAAGCTATGGATCTGGATTTGCAGGTCGTACATGTTGTGAGGGTCCCGCATTTCTGAAGCTTCGAGGTGGGTTGAGAACGAGATGCCGTCATGTGGCGCAACTTGGAGCAGTTGTGGATGAGAGACGTCGGCATCTACAGCTTTTGCTAGCAATGGCACCTAGCGGGTTCAGGTAGAACCGGACGATGAAGCCTTCGAAATCCTATTCCACGCCTGTCGGCGAGAAGGCTGGGAGCTTTAGAGGTCGTTGGGATCTACGGGTGTGGACCTAGGACTTCTGCCGAGTCTCCCTAGGCCGTCCTGAAAGAGCAAGAGGCTGGCTCGAACGAATGAGGACCCGCGCGGAAGCGGAGCAGAGTCCTCAGTGCATTGTGCGAGTGTCGGCAGGAACCCACCGTCGCAGCGTTTGCTCCTGAAGCACCTTGGCACATCTTGGCAGAATGTGATCGTTAGATCCATCTCGTCGGCATCGCAGTGGTGAGGCTGCAAGAGGAGCTTCAGTCGGAGGAGGCATCTTTGAAGCAAGATCAGGGCCCCAGGACCTAAAATGGGGGCCTTCATAGTTAGAATAGGGCTCTGGGGTATATTATACTCTATTTATACTCAGGACCCCCCAAGATACTGTTCTACTATACTGGTAGTAGTTATTTAGGCCCTTGTACTTTTCAGAAGACCTCAGCAGCCTTTCTTCGAGGTGGATGCTTTGGAGCTTTGGCTTTCGGAGCCCAAGCTCCAAGAGCTCCAGAGGCGGGGACCCTGATATACTGCAAGATAAGATAATAAGAGAAAATAGGGTAGTAGTATGTGATATCATAAGACCATATCAACAAAGTGTGAGATAGTATAAGACAATAGAATACATAATTCGCAGTAGTAATATATACTATGTACTATATCACGTATGGCCTATAACATAGAAAATATGGGAATATGTGATAGCTATAGTTTAAGTTAGAATATGATCAAGAATTAGAGCCTGGGCTGGGATTCCTCGACCGCCCTTGCGAGGTGCCGGCCCCTGGCCCGCCGCCTTCTCACCAGGCTGGCTGAGACATCCCCGCAGCAAGCCGAGGCCTAGGGTTCTCTGAGACGCAGCTCCCACACGTCTTTATATGCTGTAATATGAAATAGTTTGTTTGACATAAGATGTCATATATCATGTGTTAACCTTAGATATTGTATTGTATTTTTTGTAACTACTGCCCTTCTATCACTAGTCCTACTCACTAGATTACCAGATGTCAACAAGAACCAAGGTGTCGACGGGAGTGCCGCTTGGGAAATCCCTAAGACTCGTTTCCGATGGCAGGACTGGCTCGACAGGTTGCTGTCTGCGGGCCTTGAAGCCGACAGGCTCCTCGATTCTTGCTTTCTGCCGCTGTATCTGAAGTGCTTCGGTTCAGAAAAACCTGAGGATGTGCTACTCCTGCATTGCGAAAGCTTGGCTGGAAACCGGCGACTCGAGCCGATCCGCTGCCATGGTGGACCGGATGGTGGCAGCAGGTGCGCAAGGATGTGCGCCAGGACCTGTGTCGAGCCCACGTTTCGAAGGCTTCTTGCCATCGCGCGAGATGACGGCCGCCGTGTTGCTGGCCGGCTACGACGACGAAAAGCAAGCTGTGACTCGGAGCAGTGGAGAATCATGAGCGGATGACGGGAGCAGCCACGAAAACCCCTGGCCGAGGCCACTGAGGCGAGCGCCGACGCCCGGGTCGTAGACCTGGCACAGACCGGTAGGATCCACGAGGCCGGGCCCCTCTGCCCCATGAGGTCCCACGGCTCGCTTTCAAGAGCCCGGGAGACTCAAAGCTTACGGAAGGGCCCCTGGTTCCGAATCCCGATGATAATTCAAGGAGTACATTGGAGTCCCCATGCCCCTAAGCCCTACACCCTGCAGGCCGCACAACTCCTTCTCGAAGAGCTTGCGGCCAGCCGGGCGGTGGAGGCCTCCTCCTTCGACAAGCTCATCGCGGCCTTCGGTGCCAAGGGTTACCCAGAGGCCATGCGCTTTCCAACGCATGGGTTTGGCTTGTGCTAATGGTGGGTGCATCAATTACATAGTACTATTGCAGCACGACAGAACATTGATCATATTATGCTCCTGGCCGTGAAATGGCTAGAACTTGAATCAGGTGCGTAGTACGTAACTTACTCGTACTAACCCGCAGACGTTTTGCATGTCAGGGTTTAGGGTTTTCGAGTCCTTCGGCAAGCTTGTCTGTTCACTTGCAGGAGGCCACAGAGTGGTTTCACAGAATGGCCGCGTGCGGCTTGAAGCAAGGCCGGATGCAGAGTCTCACAGGATGTAGTATGCGTCTGAAGTGCATCTAGATGTTGTTGAACAATGGCCTACCTTGCCTGCGCGGCTGACAAGCGGCTTGTGAGAGTATATCACAGCAATAACAATGCAAGCTTATGGAATGAATCGACATCAATGATAACATGACCATGTTTTCACCCTGATAAATCCGAACCGAACAACACGGAGTTCTTGGTGTGCCGCTTCAATCGACCTATGTATCTATCTATCTACCTATCACTCCAGGTATTGAAACCTACATGCACACACACACACACACACACAAACACACACACACACACACACAAACACACACACACACACACACACACACACACACACACACACACACACACGCACGCACGCACGCACGCACGCACGCACGCACGCACGCACGCACGCACGCACGCACGCACGCACGCACGCACGCACGCACGCACGCACGCACGCATACATGTACACACATATCTACATTTTGTATCATTTTGTTATGCATGTTGATTGTTTGTTTTTTGGGCTCAGTTCCGAGGCGTCCAGGCGAGCTCTGCCTTGGTGACAGCTTGGGCCGTGAGCGGGAACCCTGCCAAAGCCGCGGAGGTTCTCAAAGAGCTCGAAGATGCTCGGAAAATGTAGAAGGGGGTACCTGATTGTGAAGGTCTTTATGTTGAGGATGCTACGTGGCACGATTTCTGCCAGGGTCCCTTGTCTCAAACTTCTAGATGGCATGAGGAGTCATTCGACAAGGGGACAAACACGACTGCTCGGTCACGACACCGGAACTACCTGCCTGTGTAGCTGGTTGCTTTTCCGATTACAGTGCCTGGCGATCTTGATTTTGTTTCGATGTTCCAGTCAAAACTGCCAAGGATCAAGGCAAGAATTTGGACCAGTACGCCTACACAAGCGTCATCAGTGCCTTTGCTGATGCAGCGAATGCCACCGCCTCCCAAGCCCCTCGACCTTTGTTCATGAAGGAGCGACTTCATAGCTTCTGCTTGTGTCTGTCTACCTGACCGTGTGTCGAGGATCTGCATATCTTATGGATGTGGCTTTCCGTTGTCATTCTATCTCTATCTGTCTGCCTACCTACCTAGCTAACTGTCCATCTGCCTTATTCTCTTTATTGACTTGAGTTCTGAGATTTCGCGCTTCGGTGGTTTGATCATTTGTATGCGCACGGACTTGTCAGCGGCACTTGACCTTGTTTGCATGGTGTTATGCATGCATGTGTGCCTGTATATGCTGGAGGAGATGGCATCTGCGCATCATACACGTATAGGCTCACTGAGGCATGATAACAAGAAGTTTAGAAGGAAACAGTGACAGCATATTCGGCCCAGGAGCCCTCCGCAAATCCTCGAAACCTCCCGGGATTGAAAGCTGCAACATGGAAAAGCACATATGCCAGCGGGGGCACACACAGACCGGTGACACAGAATAGCACAACCGAAATGTGCGATTCCGACTGAAACAGCTGCCGTCATCGCAGAAAGCACTCGCTTTCCAGTCAGAGCCATCAGTGCCATTCATGATCATACTCCTTATCATGGTTGCGTGCTGCTACTTTGACAGTTACGACCATTGGCAGTCCGTTCGAGAGTTTCAGACTAGAAGGCACCCTGATCTAGACGTTAAATAGTAGGATCCGCGGATACTCCACTGTTTTCATAGCATTGGAGCAAGGAATGGTTCAACTACATGGCGCAACGCGGCTTCGATGCCGATGTTGCAGCCTCTGGGCTGCAGCGAGAGGGGCTGCCCAAATCGTAAACGTCCTGGGAACAGTGAGAGGTGTACTAATCGCAAGAATATCAGTCATAACAGCTGCAGCAGCAGTAGTAGTCGTAGTAGTAGTAGTAGCAGCAGCAGCATTGTAGTAGCAGTAGCAGTGGCAGTAGCAGTAGCAGCAATAATAGTGTAGTAGTAGCAGAAGAAGTAGTAGTAGGAGGAGCAGTAGCCGTAGCGGCTGTAGTAGTAGTAGTAGTAGTAGTAGTAGTAGTAGTCGTAGTAGTCGTAGCAGTAGTAGTAGCAGTTGTAGTGCCTCCGGTAGCGGTAACTCGGTGCAGCAAAGTCGTGAATGTGTCCAGTGTCAGGATGTGAAGGGTGTGGTTCAGTGGGTAGAACTGAGGCTTCCAATGCAGTGCTGAAGGCCATCGTTCAAAAGAACCTCAGTGCTGCCGAAAGCTGGCTCCAAGCCATGCCACAGCAACAGTTGGCCCCGTCGCTCGGATGTGTTTTGAAAAACATGTCCGCTTCCATGTTAGAGACAGACCTGTGTAGGGACCCTAGAGTAGAACCCGAAGAGTGCCTACTATAAGTTAGTGTTACTCTAAGGACTCCTGAGTGAGGTACCCATAGTTTTCAGAAGCCCCCCCCCCCCGATTTTGAGACTGAAAGGACCGCCGTCTCCTACAACACTCTCCTGGGCTTCCCGTCAGAAATTGGAATGCACTTTCGGGATTTAGGAATCTAGGATTTGGGGCTCCAAGTTCGCGTTCAAATACGTAAGCCTGAGCCTTCTGGAGCATCAACCTGAAACTCAGGCGGCCTTGCTCAGGCAGGAAGGGAGGAGGAGATCCGGCTGTGGATGGAAAGGATGCAGCTTGAATTGCAGATATTGTGCACAGGTGCTTCTGCGCATGTGTGTGTGTGTGTGCGCGTACATGTACGTATATGTTATGTCGTATGTATGATTTACATATTGTATACAACGCAGGGAGAGGTAGAGAGACCACTTGTACAAACATATGTGAGTAAGCAGCTTTCTCTCTTGCACAGACACACACAAACGCACACACACACACACACACCCACGCACGCACGCACGCACCCACCCACCCACCCACGCACCCACGCACCCACGCACACACGCACACGTGCTCGCTCTCTCTCTCTCTCTCTCTCTCTCTCTCTCTCTCTCTCTCTCTCTCTCTCTCTCTCTCTATTTCTCCGACTGTTGTTGCCACTACGGTTGTGGGCGGACTATGTTTAACTCCGTTCTTCTAAGCCCAGCTGCTTTCAGGCGAGCTGCCCGGTGCATGCCGGGCATTGTAACCTACAATGTCTCTTGGCAGACAGAGGTAGTTTTGGACTCAGGAGACAAAACAACAGAATACGTCGACGCTTAGACTTTCTGAAGGGTCCATTGCGAAGTGCAAGCTTCAGACGGCAGCATGCTTAGAAGTGCGCAATCCGAAGCCCTAATTCCGAAACCCTTATACCCTCGGAGCCCGCGCCTCGACAGCAAGCTTGGAAGAGGAAGGGGGAAATGCAATTCAGGGATATAAGTAAGTCAACAGTGGAAATCTGCAAGTTCAAAGTTGGGGCCGTCGTGCGGATCTAAACGCCCTTGGAGATGAGGCCATCATCCGTGGCTTCACCAAGCTCGGCATGCTGCCGCAGGTCCATCAGCGAAAACCCTGCAGCATAGGAACCACAGCCCATGGGCGAGACATCAACCTCCAAGCTTCTGGCAAGAACGTTGGCAAGAGCGTCTTGTATTGGTGATTGTACACGGCATTTCCGCGCCAGTTAAATTGGAAAGACACCGTCCCAAGCCGCAGTAGGAGGGTTGGATTTCACCGAGTCTGGGACACTTACATGCGGGTTTTGATACATATATTGCTGCGACATGCAGCCGCCTCGGCTTAGGCCGCTAAGCTTACGTCTTTGTCCCCGGTCCCATGCCCCCTTCAATGGAAGCCTCCCGATAAAGCCCTGCAGGCCGAAAACTAAGACCTCCGCGAATTCGGATTCTGCAGATTCCCAGAGTGATAGGGGCCGTCCGCTCTGCGAGGCTGAAGAGTGGCTTCGGCAACTGCAAGGCACCCGACTGAACCCGGACACGAGGACCTACAATCAGTACAATCCTTGGTAAGTGCAGCGCAGCCAGACTCAGATGATGTGCGTCAAGTTGACCAGCTCATCATCATGGCACTGTATTCATCGGTTGATGCAGCAAACGCAATAAGTGGGCACAAGGCATGCGCATTGCAAGACATGAAGGAGACAGGATGCAGTGGAGTGGACAGCTGCTGCACACTTTTCTTTACCAAGGCTGATTCGTGGTTGTGCGCCGGACATTCAGAGCGCCAGCGGGTGGTCGACGACCAAGGATTGAAGAATCTCCTTTCGAGAGTGATCCTCAGGGGGATGGCTGAGGTTTGAGGAGATGCAGATGCAGACACTGGAGCCGGATGCGGTCTCGTACAACTCCATCATCCACTGTTGCGGGGAGGCAAGCGCGAGGGGCATGCTTGTTTCTTTGTGCGAAAAGCCATGCAGAGCCACTGGGTTCTTGACTGTCCGAAGCTGTTTTCCCCAAGCGTGGCAGACCAGGGCGTCCATGATGCGCCTCAACGGAGGTGCAAAAGGCTGCACAGACTGCCATGGGGCGTTGCCGAAGCTTTTTTCCCTTAATCTTGTTTCTTGGCTTCTGCCTGTACAGATGTGCACGTAGACGTATCAGTGATGGTAACGCTTCTCGTTTTCCACGGCTGTTGACCGCAGGGTGACGAGCATGTTCTGTTGAGTCGTTCCAAGGTTGCTACAAGCTTGTCCCTCTAGGGGCGATGGTGCCAAGCCATACCTGGATGCAAGATGGCTGCGGCATGCCGCAATGAGCTTCACGCACTTGTACGACATGCCAGCGAGCTCTGACACGCTGCACAACATGGCCTTACGTTGTGGCAAGAGCTCTGCGCGGTGCCATTCGTGACGTAGTAGTGCTTCCAATAAGAAGAACGGCGATTGACCTGGGAGGTTGGAAACCCTCGATAGTTTTCCCAAAGACGTCGCTTTTTCCTTTTTGACTCATCCTTTTCCAAGAGAGACCGTTCGCCAAGGAAGATGTTCTATTGTGGCGCAAGTCTTGCGATGGGTCCGATTGCGAATACTACAGCGTGGGGAACGGCTACTGCTTGATGAGGCCTCAGCTGCCACTGCTGCTCAATCGTGTTCGAGTTGCGCTGCCCTCTTGCGGCCGCTCCAGGACTTCGGACCATCAGGAGATGCAGCGATTGCAGCTGATAGAGCAAGAAGAGGCCATGCTCTCAGGTTTATTGTCTTTTACTCAAAAGGACTCCTCGAACACCTGGTCGTACCTTATGCATCCTTACACCCCGAATTCCATGAGTCCTCCTTTCTGAGTAGCCGTCATACGAGATCCTTCAGGTTGCGAGGCTGGAGAAGAGTGGCATCCGGCTAGGCCTGGGGGCCGGGGTCTCCTTAAGCATTCGGTGTTCAAGAGGTTCTTCTCTCCTGCCCACCCCCCTTCTGGGGTTCCCATATCCGAATATCCATGGTGAGAAGAATCCACAAGATCGCAATGCTAGCTCGCCTTGCAGACCCCAACTCGGACGCGGGACATGCCCCTGATCCACCTGCCGCTTGGCTGAGAGCAGTATGCTTCAGCACAAACACGAGGCAAGATCTACAATCCCCAGAGTGCACTAAGTCCATTCACCCCACGCCCCCAACACACACACACACACACGCGCGCACGCACATGGTGGCACCAAGGTATGGCTCATCCCATCCAACTGCCGAGTTCGGAGTTTGGGTCCGATGCCACCTCAAATATGGCAAGACCGTCAAAACAGGACCTTTGCTCGCGCAGCATGCGCCTTTCTGCAGAAGCTGCACACGTGGGAGTACGGAGCACGAGGGTGCGAAGTTCTGGAAGTTGGTGTCACAGGTTCAAGTTGTACCCCTGCAGTAAAGCCTTTCTCGCTATATGTCCTTCCGTACACTTCGTTCACTACAGGCTACTCTACAATCCACAACAAAGATGCCGGACTCGCACCGATGTAGGGAAGTACCTTTATTTGGTCTCGCGCTCAGGTTTTTTTGGGGTTGCTTCGGCATTGGTGCTAGTTGATGCATGACAGGACGCTTCCTTCCGATGCTTGGCCGGTGGAAGTGCAGCTGTCTCACTGCCCGAAACGGGTGCCCGTGGCAATCCTTACAGCGCCTTGGTCGTCCATCGCAATGCACCACATGGCACACGCAACTACGCTTTACAACATGCGTCCGCGGGCTTCACGCCCTGCAGCTGCCGCTCCATCTGTCAGATACCTAAATGTGGGACTACCTCAACCATCAATTGGGCCTTGCAAATGGAAGGCAGGTTTCCAAGAAAATGTGACGTTGGAGCCCTTGTCGCCCGCCGCTCTCCACAAAGCATGCCAGGCGAGGAAGATCTGGATTCGCTGGTGCAGGGAGCCAGTCTGTTTTTGAAATACAAGGGTCCCCCGGCATGCATGGACACAGCATGGGATTCGATCGTGAGCTCCTCGTGTTTGAGGGATGCTTTGCAAAACCCGCGCCTGGCACCGCGATGGTTCCAGCAAACACTAGTAAGCTTCATGCGCGATAGAAGTTTTGCAGACAAGGTCCTGGAGAGTTTTCCGACTCCTTCATAATTCCTGAGTTGCAGCGGGCAGCCGCTGCTGGAGCCATCCCGATGCCTGAACAGCAGAGGTAGTCAGCTTTGAAATGCTGCGCTGCCAGCTATCTGCGATCTACTTTGAGTTATGTAAGGACTGAAAAACTGGCGGGCTCAGCATGGAGCTCGAACATGATGCATTTGGGACGAATGTTTCATCTTAGCACCCAGGCATACGACTCGAGATTTGCTCAATAGCACGGACTGACAGTCAAGGTACCGAGCCATCCACCGCTACAAACCGGGTGGCGAAACCTGACTGCTATACTCGCGGTGCCGACACATGTTGTACAGCTTCGCAAAGAGAGAGAGGGCAGTCAGCATCCTGTTGTGATGGAGCGACACTTTGGAGGTATGTATACACGAGTTTGTGCGTATGATGCACATGTAAGTGTGTGTGTGTGTGTGTGAAGATGTAAATATGTCTGCATGTATGTATGATGCCGAGACCTAGACACAGGGGGTTCGGTCTGTCTCAGCCTGTTGAAAATGAGCCCAACTTGCACCATCGCCACGTCGAGGAAAATTATGATAAATCAGTGGCTGTTGAAAGGGAGTTCGTTCCTCCGGCACACCTTTGCCCGCGACTTGGCAAGCAACTTTTATTTGCTGGTGTTGGCGCTGGCTCTGCATATGTGCTTTCCTTCGCGAGGATAGGTCCAACTTAGGTTTTGCTGCTTGTATGGACACGGCCGGCAACACGTTGTGATGGGCAGGAATCCATTTGTCAGGACTTGCGTGTGCTATCTGCGCTCATGGGTCACGTGTCTAGTGAATTACAGTGGACCCCACCGAGAGTCGATCGACAGGATGACGTCCTACTTTAAGTTCAGCTGGCTGAACAACAACGCGGTCTGGGGCCAGCATAAATGGACAGCTTCCGCCTTCTTCTCTGTGCAGAGAACTCTTTTGGAGCTCGCAGTGCGAGAGTGCGAGGACGAGATGGGAAGGCTTCGGCGACTGGCTGTCGACTCTCGTCAAAGGTTTTTGTGAGCTCGGTAAGGACTCTGAGTGCGCCTTGGGAGAGTGGTTGCAAACAACGTACAGATGAAAGGCTTGTGATGGAAGCTCGCGAGTCCATGCCTGGCGGTTTCGCCAACGGCTGCTTGACGTGTTCTGAAACGGGTACAGACTAGTTCAAGACAGAACGCCGTCAATCTGAGGCCTCCAGTGGGCTTTTGCCTCAGCTTGCCTAAGCCTCCACTCAACAAAACAGCACGAAAGTCTCCCCGGATCTCCCCAGGCTCCGACCATCAGACAGTCCTGCCGCCAGAGCTCTACTCTGATACCTGGCACAGCTCTTCATCCTTTTCATTGTCGCCAGCTCAGCCCTCGCTTCGTGTGGCCAGTGTCAGCAAAGACATGCCCGCAGCCTTTGCGATGGTAATTCCTTGGCAGATGTGTCTAGTGAGGGATATTGATATTGGTGAAGTTAGGGCGAATGCTCCAAACGCTGGTCCCAAAAACTCTACCAGCTCTGGAGTCTGGAGTCCACAGAGGAGTCCTGAACGGAATCCGGAACACGCACGTGCCTACCTTTGCATGCCTTCAGCCTGTTGAGGCGAGACCAAATATTACTCGTTGTCAGCCGAAGACATCTTCCACATACGGCCCTTGAGTGTCGGCCTCCTAGCAGTTGGCTGAAAGGTAGTGAGAGCTAGGCTGTCGCTGCGAGAGTTTCTGTGATGGTGCTGCAGGACATGGTGCACGACGAACGCTTCCTGGCCGGATCTTCTTTCCTCGAGGATGCAGTGGCCACTTGGAGCGTTTGGTGAACGACAGCATCCGCCCGCATCCAACCGACTCCGCGTAAAGATTCCTTGAGGTCTTGCACCTGGAGACGCTACAGGCCGACATTACCTTGCTCCGTGACACGCTTTGCAGGAGGCCTTCTGCATAGAGGGGACCTGGAAGCTTCGATCCAAATCTCGCTGTCCCTCACATGCAGGTTCTCTTTCTGTACGGGGTTGCCGCCCTTTCCGCAAGTCTTGCCTGGCAAGAACCTACGGGACAGCATGCGTGACGCTTGGTTCACACTTATGGAGTGATGCAGGTTGCTCTGTTGTGCGCCAGGCAATTGCGATGTCAAATCGACAGTGGCTAGGTCCAGGTGAAGAGGATCACGCTTCATTTTTGGTTGACCGACGGGTTCGGCTTGGATTTAGCTGTTGCTGTCGCAGGGATTGCACGAGGCACATCTGGTCTGGTAGGAGCAGTGTGTTTCTTGGCCGAGCAGTCAGGAAGGGGCCGTGAAAGAGCATTGCAGCTTCACGGAGAAGACGCTGGAGTGGCGGAACTGCACGGCTCCCACATGGACCGAGAAACTTGGCGAGAAAGCAGAATGGGGTCGCTCTGAGGGTTGCAACCCTCCTTGTGAGCACAAAGGCTGTGGACAGAGTCCCTGAGACAGCAGATGATCCGGCACTACGGGGACGACTTCAAATGGCTCGGGTATTCCACAGACCCTGGCCATTTGATGCCATTGAACGCCCAGGAGAAAAAGCTCAGAAGCAGCTCGTACTCTGTTGCTGGCTGCATCGCTGCAGCTGCAGTTCCATTTTCGACAGCTTTAGTCGCAGCGACCGGGGCCGGATCGGAGCTGCACATGGTAGCAAGCGCAAGGCACGGATTGTGCTTTGTTGTTGGCTGCCAGGCAGCACAGCCCAAGCTGGCGCATCGCTGGCTCCGTGCTATGGAACGCAGAGGTCTTGAGCTGCGGCCCCAATTAACAAGGGACGGGGCCGCACCAAATTGAAGCAGTCTACTCGTAATTTGGCTATGATGGGTATCTATTTCGGCATATGTTCAGCAGTATGACTATTGTGTGCTTTCAGTATTGACTCGAGTCGAGTCATTGCGGCTATCCTGCTCGCCATCCGAAGCCTGGGCTATATCTCTTCTCTTTTTGCCTTTGTCACCCTGGGCTTACCGAGGCCGGGGGTGATTGCGTGGTCGTCGCTGCTTGCGGCTTGCGCAAAGGGCGAGGCGCATGGCGGTCGTGTTTGCATCTCACGGCCTCAGGGTTTCGGGAAGTTTCGGGCTTGTGGTTCACGTCGGTGTGCGCTCCAGGCGAAATTGGCTTTGCTTTGTGAGACTGTTTGTCAAGGATGTGCACATGGATTCTGTCCGGCGGCATTCCGCCACAGCGGCACCTTGCGAGGACAAAGAGTTGGGTGAAGCCTCCCTGCGGGAGATGCTGGACCGAAGGTGCCAATTGCAAACGCAAGAGCTGCGCCTTTTAACAGGGACCCTACATAGTAATAGGAATATCTTTCTCATGAGGCGATGCCTGAAGGTCCCTCTCGGAACCCCTGGCAAGGTTCTCCATACGCTGATCCCAGCGTCAAGCCTTGATCTGTCTTTTGCTTTCGTGGCGAGGCTCCAAGTGAATTCCTACACTCTCAAAGCCGTGAGGCGACTGCTGGCGCCCCAGGAGACATATGCTTTTGAAGACGTGACTTTGGGTACGAGTACCTCATTGGGGATCCTCCCTAAAAAATGCTGGCGTTTGGGGTCTGCCGTGACGCCTTACAGAGGGATGTGTGTGTGTGTGTGAGTGTGTTAAGACCCTCGGATTCTGTCAGGATGGGCAAACAGCCAAAACAGGTTCAAATGATAAGCTTAATAGAAGATGAGATGGAGCGCGCCGCGAAAATGTCTCCGACAAATCAACCAGAACACACATCGCTGAGGGGGTAACCTTTCGCCTCTTCGGCTCCGGATCACCCTACCATAATTCCAGGCTAGCTAACTTTTTTTGGATCAGGGTGCTCAGCAAGTGGAGACGGCTCTATGCTTGATTTCTGCTTGTTACTCTGCTTACGTGTATGCATGTACATGGTATTTCTTGCTGCTTGTTTCTATTTGTCCAGAGTGCTAGTCGTTTGTGTTCCTGTCGCTTGCAGCTGTTTCGCCATCTTCTGATGGCGCTTGACGTGATTGTTGATACCTCTTGACCGTTCTTCTTCTGCCACCCCTGATCTCAGGTTTGGCCAATCTCGTGGCGACATGCTTCTGCGAGAGCTGAGCGCAGAGGTTACCACCGAGGCCTTGATCAGGGGTGGGAGCACTCAGAGCAAAGTTTCTCATTTTAGCACGTGCTCCGGATCATGCGGTATGGCCGGCACCTACGATTGAACAGTGTCGTTGCACGTACTTGCAGAAGGAACGAGACTGGCGTGGGCGGCAACAACACCATGGATGGGTTATTTCGCTTCTAGTGTCTGATAACATCGAAAGCCCGGAAAACGTGTCCGCAAGCGTTCACGAGAATAGCCTAGAACCTGTGCAGATCTCGCGCGAGCCCAACTGCCAAGCTACCCCCGGGATTCCAGGTATCTGCAGCTCGCAGAAAGCGACGCCTTGCAAAGTCAAGGTGGGATGCTCGCAAAATGAACAATAGTACTATCTACAGTAAATAGTACGAAACAGCAATAGGTAGCAATAGATAGCTGTATATGTACAATGCGGTTATACATGTGGCATTCAGAGGAAGGCGGCGTTTGCTTGTGGGATTCTCGTTTCGAAATCGTTGCTGCCACTTGTCCTTCTTGTTGTGGTACTCACTCCTGTGATTGAACACCGCTTGAAGAGAGGCTCCTGCATCAGCACGCCAATGGGATCTAATAACTCTAGTTGACCACACATGCCCGAAACGAAACGTGCGGGGTCCGAGACGGCTTACTTCCCAGGCAGCCAAGCGTCGAAGACGTGTGATTCTCCTCCCCATCGCTTTACGTGGCTTCAAAAAAGAGTGGAGCGCTCGATTCCTGAGGTTCGGCTAGCAGTCCGATGCCAATCATTCCCAATTATTCTACTGCAGCTATCTTGGCCGAGATGACTGCGAGCATGACTTCATGGCCCAGCAAGTTCTGCTATGCGGATCCATCGTTAGCCAACTTCAGAAACCGCTAGAAGCCCTTAGCACACTCACCCCTTGGCTCTGCGTTGCATGTCCCCGATCACCTCAACCGTAGCAGACCATGCGCAGCCCGGGCCATGCCAAGCGACAGCGATCGCGAACACCAACCAAGGCATTGAAGTGAGATGTACTCAGAGTTAGTCGTATAGTCATAAGACATACATACACATACACGGTCACAGGCACACAGCCACAAGCACGCAAACCTGCACACATGTGCATACACATGCCCGTAGACAGACACGCACAGACACATGCACATACGTACATGCATACAACACACACGTGCATGCATGCAGGCAGGCATAGCACAATACAGCATAGCAACGCATATCATAACATACAGTGCATGCATACATATAGATACATATATACCTACATAGCATGTATACGGGCACACGGTCGTATGCAGTTACATACATACATCAGATTGCGTTATGTTGCATCGCAATACATTCCCATACCTGCCTGCCTGCCTGCCTATTACCGAATTACCTACTCGAATTACCTACCTATACACACATACATGCACGCATGCATGCATGCAGGCATACATGTTGACATGCATAGCGGCATATGTGCGCACGCACGCAGATACTCCCTCATGCACATACACATAATTACACATACAAGCACATACACTACACAACTTGACGAACAGATACAGATACAGATGTGATATGCATGTATGTGTACCTACAACTTATCACGAGCCTCGTGACTCTAGCATGCAATGGCAGCCACTCGGAGCTGAAGAGCCGCTTCAGTTTGACCTCCAGTGTAAGGCTTTTTGGATTTAGTCCTTCAGGGCTTGCAGGATTTGGGACGCAGAATGCCAGATTGTACAGGGAGGATCTGCACCGCATTCCACGGTATGCGATAGCTTCATATTCGTGTCCCTCGAGCCAATTTATGGCCTGTGCGACAGAGCCTGTGAGGTGGACACCAGGCGCATCTCCAGCGCACTGTGCCGGATGATCCGCTACCCGCAGCACAGACCGGAAGGCAATCGAGACGTACAAATCAATCAGAGAGGAACGACACGGCATATGAAGTTCCAGCGAATAAGGAGCCCTAGTATTCCAGTATGCCCCCGAATAATAGTAGTATAGACGCAACGATGGTAGGACATTCACAGAAGTTCCCCGAACCGATTGACTCCAGGTCTCGTGGTGGACTCAACCGGAAAAGTCGAGCTTTCCAACTTGATGTCCGTTTGGGCGAGAGCCGAAGGCTTAACGGAAACCCACATCTTGGACACTGTCGAGGCGCAGCTGCACGCATGCCCACTTCCTTAGCACGGAATTCTGTGAGTTGCGTCCGTAACTCCGCGGTCGACTTAGTTGCAGACGCCGGCCGGCCAATGTCGGTCACGAAATGCAGCCAGCACTTTGCGATAGCAGGCGCACAAGTGGCAAGACACGGAAACGCTGACGCCACGCTACTCGTTGCTCGGAGAAGACGGCTCCTTCCAGATTCGCATCTTGGCGGATCTAAGTTGTTCCATGAGTTGTCATTTCAAGCAAGCCTGGCAAAGGCTAGAATTGCATGCATCTGAGGCGTCCATAATTCTCGGAAGGAGTCGGAGCAGCGCAAAAGTATGCCGTCGAAACCCAGGAGCAGTTTGAGAGTGCTCGTGAATACATATTCGGGATATGCGGTACTGGCTACTGTTCACCAGTCTCGTGTAGGTCGTTTCTGTAACAGCATTGTTGTCGCTAGCAGTAGCAGTGCTACCACTATCATCTACTACTACTACTACTACTACTACTACTACTACTACTACTACTACTACTACTAGAAATAATAAAAAATCCACTACGATTACCTTGACTATGACTGTTACCATGTCTTGTTCGTGTTATCATCACGGTAAGGATACGTGCGAGTCACCCGTACAGGAGCACTTGGCTCGTCAAGTCGGAGGGCGACGAAGACAGGAGAAGGAAGGGCAAGTCCCTGGGCTCTTGCTACGGAACTTGTTATATTTACATGAGGAAGGTCCTAAGACCGTTGTCTGTGAGTTGATACGAGGCTGCATTGGAATATGTAAGCAGTAAGCATTATGCAAAACCCTCGTGCGCGAAAGGTGAGCGAAAGCACACGGAAGGGTTGCGATAGGGAACTGGTTGTTTAGGCTGGTTTTATCGACAGTTCGTTTGGTAGTATGTATAATATATATATATATATATACACACACATATGAATTAGTTGAAGACCTGTAGTTAAAAGGGTCAATGCAAAACGAATCTAGAGTCACTGCCGAGCACAAGCCAAATCAGGATGTTTCGGAAGTGTATATGTGATTTGGCCGAAACGTGGCGAAAGGCGACCATGCCCCAGCGAGGCTATAGCCTACTCTGCAACACCTGAACCCGTTTAGAGCTCTCAAACCTGTTTAAAGGATTTTAAAGGATCCTTCTCAAACCGTGTTCCCTGCTTGCAAGATCCTTCAAAAAGCTGTATCGCCTGCTGTCACTATTCTTCTAGATCTGTATGACCTGCTTCAAGGAGCCTTCCAAACCTGTGTTGCCAGACTCTTTTGGGATGAGTATATCCCTGGCTTAACCTGATGTCGTGACTCTCTAAAGTATCGTAAAACTGTTTACTGCTTGGAACAAGAATCTTTCTACAGCTTTGATAGATACTTCTGTGCCCGAATATTGGTGAGGTGTGCTTGTTTTGGGTGGTTTTCCTAGAACGCGAAGAGGGCGGAAGCTACACGATAGAGGGGCGGAAGAAGGTATGTCTAGGAAAAAGAATATAGGATAATTCACATATATGCATGTTATATATATATATATAGAGAGATAGTATGTACACAATGTTGATGCATGTGCTTCACTACTGACATCTGCAGTCGTGGTCTTAGTGTGATGAGTTTGTTGTTGTTGTTGTTGTTGTTGTTGTTGTTGTTGTTGTTGTTGTTGTTGTTGTTGTTGTTGTTGTTGTTGTTGTTGTTGTTGTTGTTGTTGTTGTTGTTGTTGTTTTGTTGTTGTTGTTGTTGTTGTTGTGGTTGTTGTTGGTGTTGTTGGTGCTGGTGTTGTTGGTGTTTGTGTGTTGTTGTTGTTGTTGTTGTTGTTGTTGTTGTTGTTGTTGTTGTTGTTGTTTGTTGTTGTTGTTGTTGTTGTTGTTGTTGTTGTGTGTTGTTGTTTTGTTGTTGTTGTTGTTGTTGTTTGTTGTGTTGTTGTTGTTGTGTTGTTGTTGTTGTTGTTGTTGTTGTTGTTGTTGTTGTTGTTGTTGTTGTTGTTGTTGTTGTTGTTGTTGTTCGTGTTCGTGTTCGTGTTCGTGTCGTGTTTGTTGGTGTTGGTGTTGGTGTTGTTTGTTGTTGTTGTTGTTCGTTGTCGTAGCCGCTATGGATCACAGCAGGCTGTGTAGCTTTGCTAACAAGGCTCTGGGTACCAACGCTAGAGGCTCGCAACGTGCCCCTTCTGCGAAGCTTAAGGGACCGTCCTCTTACTGAGCCATAGCTGTTCCCGGAGCCGCGTGTCGCTGTGATCTACCGGGTCCCAATTCCCGGACCTCTGTCTGCAGTTATACAACCTTGGCATGAGGTAAGCGGTAGTGGTTTTCACCTTTTCCGCAGGGTGAAAGGAGTCGGTTCGAGTTCTCTCTTTCCGGCGAAACTAGCGGACGGCGCAATCGCCAATGCACCAGCATTCATTTGAGAGCATTCGCAAGAAGGCCTTTCGCAAGGCTTGCAATAAGGTTCATAGAACACAAGAAAGCATCCCGTACCGGAATGGTACGTTGACGCCTGAACATCTGCGTCGCAGTGGACTCACCCCCCCCTCCCCTCCCCCCCTCCCAGTGCAGCCTAGCTCCACGATTTCTCCTTCAGGTCCCTCAGGTTTCTCCGCCAGTTTCCGCTCGCGCCCGAGAGGCGGTCGTGCCAGCAAGTCTCTTCGTGTTCTTTCCTGGAATGCAGGGCACCTTGGCATGCAACAATGGGCAGAAGTGAAGACATGGCTTCGCACGGAGGCCAAGTCAGTCTGTGACATTCTTGTCCTTCAGGAAACCCACTGGAGTGAGACAGCAGAATTTGATGTCGAAGGCTGGCACTGCGTAAGCTCCGCCACAAAAGGGGCTGCTCGAGCACCTAAAGGTAAAGCCACTTCAGGGCAACGCCCCAAGCAAGGCGCTGCCACGCAGCCGGCTGTTCACGACACAAGCCGAGCGGACGGCGTCATGGTTCTACTCTCTCCGCAGATAGACAAGAAGAAGATAAGATGGCGCGAGCAACGCCGGGGAAGGCTCATTCAGGTCATCTTCCCGTGGCTTGGGGCTCGTGTGCATGTACTAGCGGTTTACCAACATGCCTGGTCTTCTAAGAAGACTCCACAGCAGAACAAGGATGACCGCTCACACCTGCTCCGCGATCTGTCGGCTGCGATACGGGCCATTCCAGCGCGAGATACTTTTCTCTTGGCAGGAGACTTTAATGCTCGACTGACCCCGCAGGAGGGTCTGGTAGGTCAGTGTAGCACCAAGCCAGAGCAAACTCAGATGCAGGATGAATCGTTCCAAGCCTTAGTCTCCTCCCATCGGTTGGTAGCTCTTAACACATGGTCTAGTGGTGCAGGTCACACTTTCTTCCTGAATGGTCAGGGATCACAAATTGACTTCCTGCTCACTTCAGAAGCCTCGGCCAAGGGCCTGGCAAAGCAGTCTCGGCCGTGCAAGGATCTTCAGCTCGGCAAATGGAAGAGGGGCGGCCACCTTCCAGTCTTGGCTCAACTCAGACCCACCCAGCACTGGAATCTGCCAAAGCCTACTTGTCCTTCCACGACCTTTCATAAGGAAGCTCTAGAGACGGCTGTCCGTTCAGGTCTGCCAATAGCCGGTCGCATGCAAGACTGGGTGGGCCAGCGTCTGTCCTCTCGGACTCACACGCCTGATGAAGTTAATCAGGTACTGCTGGAGGCCTCTGCACTGTTTTTCCCCAAACCACGGCCTCAGCAAGCTCCTGAAACTGCTCAGCACCGTGCGACGCTGCGAATGTGGAGTCGAGTCGCTCATATTCGTTCTTTGCATGAGGACTCCATAACCACCTTATCCGACCTAGATCAGTCTTTGGAGGACCTGAATCGATGGCATAAGCAGGCTCTCTACTTAGCCAAGAAGGAACGACACCGAGCTTTCCAGGCTGAGGTCGATGAGGCGTGTGCCAGACACGATTCCTACATCGCACATAAGACCTTAAAGAAGCTCCGACCTTGGGAACCCCAAACTAAGGCACAGCTTCAGGGACCGGATGGTCTGCTGTTGGACTCTACCTCTGAGCTCCGCCTGCTTAGAGACCACGTGGAACAGGTCTTTGCCAGACATCCGCCACTCGCACACCAGGTGGACTCGCTGCCGGAAATCCCGGCTGGTCTGCTGGCCAAGCACATAGGCTCCATCAGACCGCACAAGGCGGTACCGCAAGGCTCTGCTCCGGCGGCTGCCTGGCGGCTCTGCTCGGCGGCTGCGGGAGAGGCGCTAGCAGCATCGCTGCAATCTCGGGGGCAACGCCCATTGCCGGCTGCTGAGGTACTTCAGCCGCCCTTAAAGGATGCTGACTTGTGTTTTATCCCAAAGCCTAACAAGCCGGCCACGAAGCCTGGCAATCTACGTCCCCTCGGCATCATTCGACCAGACGGCAAGGGCCTGGCGGGGGCTTGTAGAGATCAGCTGTCTCCCTACACGGCTGACTATCTTCGGGGTCTCCCACAATTTGCCTACCAGCCACATCGCGGTCTTTCAGATGCCTTGAGCAGGGTCGTTGGTCATGTCACTCAGGTACGCAATAACTGCCAGGAGGCCCGACGAACCAGGCATCAGCTTCACTCGGGACGAACTCGTCCTCAGCTAGTAGGTGGCATCTGCTTTGCACTAGACTTGTCACAAGCCTTTGACATGGTGAGCAGAACAGACTTGCTTAGCACACTGCAGGAAGCGGGAGTCCCGCAAGACCTCATTGACCTAGTTGCCTCATTGCATGCTGGCAGTGCTTACACGTTTCGCACCCAGGGTGAAAAGGACACGGTCCAGTCCACTGCGGGCATTAATCAGGGGTGTAAGCTTGCCCCCACACTTTTTTCCATGCTTACGGGCACCATCTTCCGGGAGCTCATAGCTCTTGTTGGGGTTCGAGCCGTGGTGGACTACCTCACGGGCTACGCAGATGACCTTACGGTTCACCGTGACATCCACTCAATGGAGGACCTGGATCGCGCTCATGCTCTGATTGAGCAATTGTTGCAGTTGGTCCGTCGCCATGGATTTGCTGTCAACGGTGCAAAATGCACTGTTATGGTCAAACTCGAGGGCCAACAGGCGCAACGCGCCATCTCCAAGCACACTTATTGGCGCACCGCGCCTGACGGAACCCGCCATAAGATGTGGAGACTGGGAGAGTCCAAGTCTCACGAGGGCTTTCCGCTGGTGACGTCCTTTAAGTATCTCGGCGTCATGCTCTCCTACTCCAACTTCGAGAAGGCTACTCTCAAGTTCCGGTTGCAGGAGGGCAATGTGAAATTGCAGCAGGTACGCCGCTTCGTTCACAACAGACGAACGGCGGGGCCTGCATCGCGGTTGCACATTTGGCATAGCACTGTCTGGGCCACAGTAGCCTCTGGATTGGTGGATGTGGGCTTGACCCTAGAGACAGCTAAACTGTTGCGGGCTTGGCACGCTCGCAAAATTCGAGCTGTCCTGAACAAGCCAGCGCACCTGACACACATATCCACGGCTGACCTCTACGCCTCCCATGAGATCATGGACCCTGTCCGTAAGCTGCAGGCGCGACAGGCCAATCGTGTCAAGCGCTTAGGTGCTCGACGGCGGAAAACTCCTGCGGGGGACATCTCTTTAACCCAGCGCGCGCTTCTCCAGGCGGAGGCACTCTCTACTAGTTATGCAGACGTTCTGCAGCAACTTTCTAAGGACACATCACAGCAGGAGGCCCCCCCGTCCTTCGTGTGCCCGACGTGTGCTCAGGCCTTCGACACTGAGGTCGGTCTTCGCACCCACCAGGCCCGCAAGCATCCAGGCTCGGTCATCAGATATGTCCCTCGAGGCTTCTCCCACACCCTCTCTGTAGGAGGGCTCCCCAAGTGTGCGGCCTGCAACAGGCAATTCCCTCAGATGAAGGGCTTAAAGGACCACTTGCTATCAGGTGCCTGCTCGGAGCCAGCTAGGCTACAGGAGCTGGATGACGCGGCGCACCCTCCCTTGGATTCGCAGCATCAGCCCAGATTGCATCCCAGGCAGCAGCGCTTGCATGACACTCTGACAACACACACGGCTGTGGAGCTCGGACGATCTGATGAGTCTCAGGACCTTATGTCACATTGCTTGCTGTGTGGGTTCTGGACCCCGGACAATACCAAGCTCAAGTCTCACATCCGGCAGGCCCACAAACCTGAATGGGCGGCTCATGGCGCTACAGCTGCAACTCAGAGCAGCAAATCAGGCCTGACCCTTGTCAAGGGCATGCCTTGCCCGTGCTGCCGCAAGCCTGTTACGGATAAGAGGCAGCATCCGGCACAATGTCCGATCCTTTTTCAGATTCTGTTTTATGACTTGGTTCATGCACTTTCCCGCTGCCAGGGCGGACCGTTACGCAGGTACATGCCAGCGGTTGGCACGACACAAGGCAATGCACCCACACGGGACGATACCACCGGTGTTGGAGCAACGCCCCAGACTCGCCAGGCAACGCCTGCAGGCCCCCTGCCACCGAAGTCAGGGACAGTAGAATCAAAGGACGGCGCGCTCGCTGCTCCTCGCTCGCTGCGCAACATCTCCAACTACTGCTATGTTAACTCAACGCTTTCGGCCCTGGTGCCGACGTGCATCTTGCTGGAGCACGGAGGGGCAAGCACCTCCCTCCATCAGGAAGTGGCTGATTCTGTCTCTGGTTCTCCTTTCACCCTGACTGCCTCTTTCACGCTTCGCCATCTTACTCCCACTTGGCGCTATGATGGCCAACAACAAGATGCTTCGGAGTTTCTAGTGGCCTTATTTGCAGGCATTACCGCCTTTCCGATTGCACGACCCTGGGAAGTCAGGGATGTAAACACTACTGAGGTCACCGATGCGGGAGGTCCGCTCGCTTTGCTGCCAGCTCCAACGACAGGTGGATCCCATGCACTTCAGGAGCTGCTCTCTCGGTGGTCTGGCCAGCCGGTGCACACCGCCTTTCGAGGGCAGCAACGACTGGTGGTTCTCACAGTGGCGCGATTTGTTGAAGGCCGCAAGCTCAGCTATGCTGTCACTGGTCTGCACCACCCCCTTCAGCTCTCGCAGTGGGCCCCGACGGGCTCCGTACAACTAGAGAAAGGATGGGTTCAGTCCTGTATCTTCCACATAGGTGACACCCCGCACAGTGGACATTATCGCTCCCTCTGGAGGAGCAACCCCGATCAACCTTGGCTCAGCACGGACGATGGTCGTCCGTCGGTTCAGGCGCCTCAGATTCAGATCTCAGGCAGGCACGCCACGGGTGCTATGTGCTGTTCGTGCGACTTGGTTCAATACCGCGCACAGCGGAGGCTGGCCCTATGCCAGTCCAAGTTTCAGATGATTAAGCTGAGGGTTCCCCTGAGGCCAGGGGCCCCTACTTCCCCTTGCAGGAAGGGGGCGACCTACTGGCTCTGTGGGACCGACCTGCCTACACGGCAGGGAGCAGGAACGCTGTTGTTCAGTTTTGCTGCTCAAGTCGTACAGCTGACGTAGCTCCACTACTCAGCGTTTGTGTGCAATAGCGGCCTACACCTGTCATGCTAGTCGGGCAACGCTCGCTGCTTTCCCAGAAAGGCAACGCCTGTCAGCAACACAGCTGACCAATGGCTGAAATCGGCTTTACAAACCCCCATTCTCGGCTCGAGAAGGGGGGTTTGTCCGAGGCCTAAAAATCAAGGTTTTGCAACCCCCCATTCTCGGCTCGAGAATGGGGGGTTGTCCGAGGCCCCCAAGCCATTGCCGGCAAGCCTGGCCTCTGGAGGGGAGTACGCCTCTTACGAATAAGGTTAGCCTTATTAGGCACAGTGTGCTTACCGCCAGGGTGTGCCACATCGTTCACCGATGCAATCTGCTTGCCCACAAAAGCGGAGCTGCCTCAGATAACAGCACTAGCAGCCGTTCCACATGCTCATCACCTTTGCGACCTTACGGCCCATCGCCTTTGATTGAGAGTGACCATGAGTGGGACGCCACGCAACAGGCACTCTGAGTGACGGTCCCGAGGGGGTACGGCTCATCAATCATCGGTCCGTGGACATGGGACGCCATAGTCCACACTGAGGGTGACGGAGGGTTTCTCACCCACGCCTGAGACGCATGAACCGGCTTTTGAGGTAGCTTGTAGGGTAGCTCTCTTCACGGTAGCCTGTTTCAGCGCTTTCAGGCCCAGGCCCTTAGCATTTCTGCTCTCAGACCTTTGTTCAGGTGCAAAGGCAGTCTCACACGCCCGCAATGAGCAGAGCCCGCTCGCTCAGCGTCCAATAAAAAATTGTCGTTGTCGTTGTTGTCGTTGTTGTCGTTGTTGTTGTCGTTGTCGTTGTCGTTGTCGTTGTCGGTGTTGGTGTTGTTGTTGTTGTTGCTGTTGTTGTTGTTGTTGTTGTTGTTGTTGTGTTTTAATCTGTGCGTTTGGTCATGCTTCACGTGGTGTTTCCCAATTGCTGTAGCTCGAAGTAAGTCCATGAGCTGGAGCACAGGTTCACGAGAGTGAAGTCAGAGATCAAGGGAAAGAAAAACGCGGAGGATCCCGAAGCCTGGGACTCTGAGGGTCAGAAAGAGGATGACGAATTCTGGACGGACTGGGCGAAGAAGGAGACTGCAGATGAATGAGGGCAAGGCTCAGCATAGCCCCATTGAAGTAACGAGACGCCAAAACCAGCTTCAAGCTCGCGTAGCTCTGCAGCCAGTGGCGATCATAGGACTTACTGCCTGGCACGCATAGAGAGTCTCTGTGAAGGGTGTCTAGCGGGTTACACAGAGCACAAATGCAGGAATTGCCAGCATAGCAGAGATCAGCATGGCCGTCGTTTGGCAGAGCAAGTTTTCGTCGAACATGCATTCACACTGCTCCAGTGCGCCAGTCTTTTAAATGGGCATTGCCCGAGAGGGGCCGTGCATTCCTCTCAGCAGCTATCGCATTTCTGCAGCGTGAAAAATGTTATTCTTGGTCGATACTAGCATGAATGGTGGTGCGCATTGAGCCTATGAGTCCATCTGCTGAGGGGAATTTTGATTTACGTTACGCTTCCATCGACGATGCCCAAGCCCGAAAGCCCAAAAAGGCGTTGTGCGGCCAAGGAACATGCTAGACAGTTCTGAGAAGTGCGGATCACAGGAGGCATATGCGTAGTTCCCATAGCTGATCTGGAGATCCAAAACAGGGGTCCCGAGATGTCTCGTGAGGTCAGGGGCTGTTCGGGGCGTTAGTGTCTTGAGGGTCTCTGCAGCACCGGGCAGCGAATTGCACCCGAAGAAGGGAACACCTCAGCCACAGCGTCAAAACCGTCTGCAACAGTGTCTGTGAACGCTGAAGCCTAAACACCTGTCAAGACAGGATGCAGCTGCAAAAAGGCATGAGGGTTGAAACAAAAGACACCTTTTAAACACCTAAACTGCGCCCAGCTCTATTCAAAGAACCGCAGCATCGCTGTTCTGTTTTCGGTCTAGCATTGCCCGAGGCGGGTATGCCGTTCCCACCTCTGATCTGCGGCCTAAGCATTCATGAAGTTGTCATGGCAAGGACATGAGCAGGCAGAAGACAAGGGAAGCAATTGCGCTCAAGAGGCTCTGGTGAAGATGACATAAAGGAGCCGAGAGTGAAGATCAGGGAGCATGCACTGTAGGCGGCTCCACCAAACACCGTCTACAACACAAGATTAACATCTAGCCCAGCAGTTTACATCACGACAGCAGGCCCTAACGTCATAGGCATCGCAGCTTTCGGTGCAGTCGGCTCCATCTGGACGAAATCGTACAATGCCAGGCGCCATCTTCCGTAAAGAGGGAGATTGCCGACTTTGCCTGTTCTGCAGCACTGCCCAGTTACTGTTGTTCTTGCGTGCGTCTTGCTCAGATGGTGGCGGCAAGGGCTTCGTCAAGGAAGGCCGAGAGGACCTGCACTGTCAGAGTGCCGCCTGATACCCCAGGTTACTTGTGGGGTCTTGCAAGCAAGCACTGCAAACAAGTTGTGCAATCTTGTGAAAGATGTCTGCAGGACACCATTTTCGTTGGTGGGCTGCGCAAGAGCACCACAGAGGACGCATCATTAAATCGTCTGCACCAGGGCCATGCATTCGGGCACCCTGGAACATCGAGTCTGCTGCTGTCTTGCAGGACAAGGTGGCAGGGCACTTCGCGAAGTTTGGCCAGGCGAGGAAGTCCTTGGCGTCATACCGCAGAGCAGTCGAAAGCGTTTTCCATGATAGGTGACCAACGTTGAAATCAAGAAGCAGCCCGATGGAACTTCCCGTGGCTTTGCCTTCGTGACCTTTGCGGAGAAGGAGCTGCTGATTATCCAATTTCAGAACAGAAGAGTCCGCAGAGCTTTCACTGTGCCATAGGGCACTGTGCCGCTATTCTTGGAATGCTCTAGTCATGATGACGATGACGGTGACGGCCATGCTGACGATGATGATGATATTGTTGATGACGATGATGATGATGATGATGATCGCGGTCATGATCATGATGATGATGGTGGAGATGATGGTTCATGATCTCCCTTTTGCCAGCTTTCGGTTGATTACCTGGCAGGCATCTGTTGCGAAGGTTCTGGAAGCCCACTCCAGCCACATGAGCCATGGCTGCACCAAAAAGCTGTTTTCCTGCTGCAAGAGCACCAACAAGTTTGCATTTCAAGGATTGACAACAAGTGGGTGGACGTGAAGCCTCAGGTAGCTGCCGTCCCAAAGGCCTGGATGCAGCATGTCACTGCGGTCTCAAGCAGGTCAACTCGAGTTGCCCGTCTCCTGCACAAACCCCAAAACCCATCAGTACTGTAGCTTCCCCCTTGAGCTTCGAAGCTCGGCCAGAACCCGCGTGACAATGCCCCTGCGAAGAAAGAGAAGGAGGAGGCCGGGGCAGCAGGGCAGAGGAGTCCAGCGTCTGGAGATAACCTTTAGTCTAAGGCCCTGCATACCAGGATGCATTATGATTAAGACCCCTAGTGGTAACGCACTGCCCTTAGTCTTGAGAAGCTTGAAACCCCATGTCAAGGCCAAAGATACCCAGGAAGACTATGAGTCGGGTTTCGCCGAGAAGTATCTGCAGGTGCGATGCCTCTTTGTGCGCGTGTGTGTGTGTTGTATGTGCTTTTGTGTTGGGAGGGTGAGAGGAGCATTGCTATTGAAAGCATCCGGTCTTGAGACAACCCCAAACCCCTGCATTCGGCGTTGGCATTAGTGTCGAATGTCACAGCTTGTCCGCCGGCGCCCGGTTTCCCCATGTTGGCGCACCTGCTGCAGGACATAATAAGACATAGTACCAAAAAACTAATGTCGACGAGAATGCACGAAGCCATATGTCGTTTGTAAATCAGCTTCATCCGATCACCTGGCATAGTCTGAAAGAACACGAGATAGTGCAAATCGTGTTGGTCCAGGCAGCAGCTGCCATGCAACAAGGATCAGGCAACAGTGCCTTTGCTCAAGCTTGTCTCATTGTGGCAGGAGCTCTGGGGTCCTGCTATTGACCGATGGCTGATAGCTCTCAACCCCGGAACCCAGTTTAGGGGTCGCAATAACTCGTTGTAGTATCTTCGTATAGTCCCTAGTATGACTACCAGCATAGTCCATACTACATCCCAAAACCTCGCCCTAGGTTTCAGGGTGCCTGTATTGAACCCAGCCCTGATGAGCTGCAGTGCCAGTGAGTCTTTCAGGTCTTGGGGTGCTTGCCAGGAGGTTCCAATTGGGAGTTTCAGAAAATTCAGGTCCTCGGACAGAACCGGAGAAAGGATCCTTACCACTTGTGATAGTATCCCCCAATGTCAAGGTCAGGATTGTAAGACAACCAGAGGTCCAAAGCCAACTCAACCAAATAGGGTAGGCGCCAAGGTATCTGCAGCACCAAAGCCTTAATCCTAAACCTCTGTTCAGGAAAAGAAACCCCAAGCCGCCCATTATCTTTAGGGCCCTGCCCTGAGTCTCTCAAGACGCCAAGGCGAATCCTCAAGCAAAGAGGCAAAAGATGGAGATTCCAACCAGATGGGAAACATGATGAAGGCCCTGGAAGCAGTCCCAGCTTACTTAGCGAGCGTGCTCTTCTTTCATGACTGGGGTTCCGTTTAGCCGGAGTGGAGAGCATCTTCCAGCAGATTGCGAGGCAATGATGAGTATGATGCCCATGATGATGGGCAACTTGGATCGACTCTTCACATGTTTCTGCATGGTTCCTATAGTTTCTGGGCTTGTGGGCTGCCAACAGCTGCGGCACCTGCAAACTGTAATAGGCTGGGCAGACAGGCAGGATTCAGTTTCGGGGTGTCCAAGACAAGTCGCGCTTTGCTGGGCCTTAGGAATCTTCTAAAGATATCGGAGGTAACTGGGAAAGAGAAGTCGTCCCCTACTGAGGCATGAATCCCATGATGATGGGCTGTGGCAATTGCAGCGGCGGCTGTGGTGGCGGCTGCGGTGGCGGCTGCGGAGGTTGTGGCAGTTGCGGATGCAGTGGCGGCTGCGGATGTGGCGGCTGCAGCGGCTGCGGAAACTGTGGCTGTGGCAGTTGCGGCGGCTGCGGTGCCTGTGGGCCCTGTGGAGCCTGCGGCTGTGCACAGGGCTGTGGGTGCCCAGGCTGTCCGTGCGGCGGCCCGTGCGGGTCTTGAGCTCAGCCGAGACAAAGCGGCTCAATGGCTTCTGTCGTTCGCTTTTCCTCCAAGGTTTTCAAGTCTGTAGTGACTGTAGTGCAGCAGCTGAGGTGCGGAGGATGCCCGGGCTGCGGCAGCTGTGGTGGCTGCGGGTGTCCAGGCTGTGGATGCAGTGGCGGTAGCTGTGGAAGCTGCGGCGGCTGTGGCAACTGCTGCAGTGGCTGTGGTGGCTGTGGTGGCTGCGGTGGCTGCGGTGGCTGCGGCTGCGGTGGTTGCGGTGGCTGCGGCTGTGGTTGCGGCTGCTGTCCTGGCTGTGGCGGTTGCTGTGGGGGATGTGGTTGCGGCGGTTGTCCTTGCGCAGGATGTGGAGGTTGTGGCGGCTGTGGCTGCATGGGCTGCGGCAGCTGCAGTGGTGGCAGCAACGCGTGCAACAGCTGTACTGGGTGTGGAGGATCCTGCGGCACGTCAGCTGGACCGAGCAACTCGTCGCAAGAGAGAATCTGTCATCGAAGCTCAGGTCTCCAACCAGATAGTATTAGTCATCATAGTCATACTCAATCATCATGATAGCTATGGACAACAAAGGACGATTAATGACTAATAGCAACATTAATGGGCCTACACCTTACGTAAATAATCTGAAGAATTTTGTGGTTGTTGAATAGTCTTGTACTAATTCTAATTATTGTTATTGTTATTATTATTATTATTATTATTAGTAGTAGTAGTAGTAGTAGGAGGAGTAGCAGTAGTAGTAGCGTTAGAACCCTCATCCAGGTTGTGGCACTGGAGCTCCGAGCTCCGCCAGCACCGGGGCCCCGGCGCTGGAAAACGCCGAGAGCAAATCCAAGAGCTCCGAACGCTTCCAGCCCTACTGAGACCGGGGGGGTCCCCTCTCCTAGATTCGGGGATCCCCAAAGTTATTGAGTTCTAGAAGGACAGATAAACAGTTAAACTGATAAATGAGCGGACAGACAGATAGATGGATAGAGACACGTTAGGACATACGTGCATGTAATGTATGGATGTCTGTATGGATATATGGCTGTGTGCATATATACGTGCGGTGTTTGCGTGTATGTGCACGTCATACGTGCGCCAAATCAGATCAGATGTAATGCATGCAGCCGTTTATTGGGATCCCCGCAACTCACCGGTTACGACGGGACTGCACCCCGTTGCGACCTGTTAATGTGACAGCTGATTCAGCTGCTTTGCTCGGGGCTTCAGTGCAACTCTAAGAAACAGCATACATGACCTCATCAAGCGGCCTTAAGAATAGGACAGGGCTTCATCGGATTTAATGTGGGGGAGGGGGGGTGCCTTCAGTATGAGAACAAGATTTTGGAGTATGTCACGGTATGTCATAGCAGAATTAGGCACGGACTTCTTCGGACCCCTATTTTCGACCCATCGAATTGTCCGCGTTTAAGAAGGTAACATAGAAGTCCTTACAATGCAGGCAGAGGTGATCCATAAAAACAGGAACCACGTGAGAAGTCCGGGGTCAGAGAAGCTTAGTCTCGGGAACACGGCTGGATGACCTCAGAACGGAAAGGGGCGCTCGAAAATGTGCGGTGCCGTGTTGTTTGCCATTGGACGCAGGGTCAGGGTGTGTTGCCAGCGGCAGAAAGTACAAAATGTATCCTGCTATGAAGCATCGCTCGCATTTGTCACTGATGTCTGCTCGTGCAGCTGTCAAGACGTTCGGGTGTCCATGAGAGGTCTCTGGATCCTGACCACAAGGGCTAGGTGCTCTGAGCATGATCCAGCAGATCGTTTCGCATGACAAGTTTCTGCCCGTCCGAAGCGTTTGGCGCGGAGGTTGCTTAGGTCGAGTTCCCAGTCCTAGCCTCTCGTTTCTCGCGCCATCATTTTCAGGTAGCTGACACCAGACTGCGCTTCCAACCGGAACAGACTCGAAAGTAGACTGCAAAAGCGGTGCTCAGCAGGTCATGGCCAGGCCTGCACGGGTGCTCGCAGCACTCTTCGTGGCAGGTCGGTGTGCATCTGTTCGTAGCTCGAGCACCTTTGATCAGCCTCTGATTCTCGCTTTGATAAAGCGACATCAGGAGCTGCCTTCTGCGCGCCACATGCGCCTCGCGCAGCTCCACGCAGATCCCCGCTTGCTGAGAGACGAGGTCGGCCAAGCCTCTCCGCACCAATCCTACAGTGTGAGTAAGGAATGGCTGCAGAATCTTTGCAGAGCATGGGGCTCGTTTCTCTCAGGATCCCCTGATCCGCGACCGGAGAGTTGGGGCCACAGCGTCCTGCACTCGGAAGTGACATCTTGTCTTTGTGGCTCTGCGGCTTGAAGCTGATCGTGAGCCTCAGATGATTCCAATCTTGCAGTCGCTCAGAGTACTTCGGGATGCGCTGCTCTTGCACTGATGCCGGCACAGTCAATTTGAATTTCTCCATCCTCGACGCCTGAGCACGACACAGCACAAGCCGCGATAATATCTGGTAGCCGCGAGTATCAATGTAGTTTGAGACACCCCAAACGGGCCCAAACCCCGACTTAAAGCCCCGTCGTAAATATGAGGGCCCCCACATGAAGGATATCATGTCCCTGGGCCAACGAGGGGCGGCCATGGCTTGGTTTCGGACCTCTAAATATAAGCTTGATACTGAGGTACTTGCAGTGGATCCCAAGGATCCCTTATTATACGTGAGCTTCTCTGGACTTCCCCACCTTTCGTCCCGCCTCCTGAGCCCTCAGAAAACAGAATGTTGTTTGCACTATCCCCAGTACGAAGTGATCACAGTGCAGTCGCTCCGACATGCAAGGCGACCTCAATATCCGGACAAGCCCCGTTTCACTGAAATTAAGACTCAACCTGATTCCCTAAGGTCGAAAAGGCTACACTTATCGTAATCTCCGAGATCCTAAACTCGAAACCCATATAGTTTGGTTATCTTGCACTGCCCCAAACCCTAGACCCATGTGCTCTCATCAGATTTCCATACGCTAAACCCTGAATTCCCGCAAAGCCATCGAGTTCCGTCCTCTCTCTTCGACCAGTCTTCTCGTTCTTCCAGATTCTGTGAGGCCTTCGTCGCGTCGACACTGGGACTCGTCGCTGTGCGAGCCTCGGGACGCCGCTCATATTTCTCAGATAAATCAACATCATGCACAATATATATGTATAACAACACATGCATATGGAGAGTCTAGCATCAAGTGTTAGTGATGTCGAGGGCATGTCATGTGTTGCGTCAAATCGTGGCTTTGATGGCCCTTGGCATTGCCAGGTGGGTTTAGGTCGGAGAGACGCCTCCAAGTCCAGAATCCTAGAACCCAAAAGTCTTGAGTCTGTGTTCGTGCGTGTCTGTGCGTGAGGTGAGGTGAGCAAACCATGCAGGGACAATGATTCATCCGGCAACTTCTGGACTGTACGTACAATTACCTGCCAAATAAACTTGAAAGCCATAGAGACTCAAGACCTGGTAAACAAAAAACTATAAACCTACCCGAATACACGGCTATCAATAAAAACTACGAAAACCCCGATACAAACTCTATAAACGCCTATAGACCCTAAAGAGCGCCTCTCGCTTTGGGGGCTATTTCAAGGTCGCAGCAGCTGTTGCGCGACGTGCTGGAGATGTGCCTCCGACACTTTCAATTGTGGACTCCTTGCGTCTGCTCCGAAGTGGTCAAGACTCGCTGGAAGCGTGTGTGAAGTGTCTTCAGGCTTGCTTGAGAGAGAAGGGTTTTTGCCAAGTTTGTGCACGTTTGGAGGCTCGTCCTGCGCGGTCTCTTGGCTTATAGGTGGCCTCGAATTCAGTAGGCTTGGAACGAGATGGTTGTGTGGCTGGAACTGCTGACGTCTCCGCCTGTTCTTCAGTGGCTGGGAGTCGGTTTAGGTGTACAGACCGCTCTGCTCCTCAACACCTGCAAAGGCCTACGCGACCAAGTTAATTGTAGATTGCCACAGTGGGAGGCGGCCTGGAACAGGCAGGTGGCCTCCCGAAAGTTCCGGAGGATTGAATTCATCGCTCGAGTTGCAGCCACGCAAGCCTGGTCACAGCGGGTGGACGAGATCCAACAGATCAAGGACTTGGCCAACGACGTTCTGAGGAAGCTGCAGAGCCTTGTCTGCAGGAAAGGTCATAGGCCGACATCGGAAAATGGGCAGTTCCGGAAAAGGGTCGTAGAATTCAAGACTTGCAGGCGAGACACCTGCGGTACTCCCGGCTTGGTCCCGACCGCCAGCACCCAGTCGTATTTTTCCACGATCGTGGAGGCAGCTCAGGTGGCCGCGTGCAACCCCGACGAGCAGGCCCAGGGGTTAGGTTAGGGTGTGAAAGGTCTTGGAGTTTGTCAAGTCTAAACCACCGAAGCCAAACCTGTAGGTCCTAATACGAACTCCTGCACATGTTGAGGTACCAGAAGCCTGGCGGATCCTCCGCACAGCTGTGGCTTTGCAGAAGTGCAGCAGGTCTGCTCGTGATGATCGGATGCTGGATGTTATGGCTACTCGCCTTGCATGTTTCAGGATCTAGCCAACCAGCCAGCGAAATCATGGCTCGGAAAATTGTGTCAAAAGCTGCACATGCTGCTGTGCGTATGCGACCCCGGGGTGCGTTCGTGATTTTAAAGATCATGAATGAGCACTCACCTTTGAACACTCGCATTGCTCGCGCAGTTGGAAAAGTCCTGGTGCATCAGTGACGGAACGATTGCTTCCAGCCCATTCCGACTCGGCCAAGAACATGCACCCCCGTCGATACGTCTTTGCTTGCATGCTTGCCTTCGAGTGACGTCTTCTTCCCACATGCCAGGAGGACTTTGCCGGGTTTTCCTACAAAACGGCCTTCTTCTTCCCAGGCCGAGGGGGTTCCGGACGAATGTCTAAGGGTCAGGTTTCAGAGTGTAGAGTTTAGGTTTTGATGATGTTTCGGGTTGAGGATTCAGGTGCATTTGACAATTTGCTCGCTTCTATCTGCGCACCTATGTACCCTCTATTTATATACCTATGGCTCTATCTCTCTCTTTGTTACATGTACCCGTCCCCAGGAATGCACCACATGAACATGATGCATTTATGAATGCTCTGATGCCAAATGGCATTGGCACACAGGAAAAGGAAAGGGAATGAAAGGAAGAGGGAAAGGCCAAGGAATAAGCTTGAGTCGAGGATCAAAGGACAGTGTTACATGACATGAGCCCACGAATGCACCCAATGAACATGATGCATTATCGAATGCGCTGATACCGAATGGAATTGGCTCATGAATGGACAGTTGGCCTGCCGTCACAAAGGAATGTCTGCTTGAGTGTGTGTGTCGTGATTCATCTTGGTTGCTCTGGCTAGTGTGGATTGTATAGTTGAAGTTTTTCGCTCTCTCTGTCTTTCTCTCTGCCCTTCTTTCTTGCGAACGGCTGACTTGGCTTCGCAGGCCAAGGGGCTCAAACCGTTGGGATGTGCAAGGAGTTGACGGATGAGGCCGCCGTGCATGCATGGAGAGTTGTTCGGGATTCGGATCCGAAGCAAATGAACCGATGCGTTTGTATGTACATGTTTTAATATGCACATACATATGCACATGCATGTACGGCAATACAGATAATGCAGAGCTGTATACATATATATATATATATATTTATGCATATATACATATGTACACGGAAAATAGAGCTAGTCACATATATACACATATATGCATATGCATCTCACCGTTCATTCCCCACATGATTAGTCCTCCTCAGCTCATATGGTTAAGCCAATTGCTGAAACGGTGAAGTGGTGAAATGGTTTCGGGGGCGTAGCCAGCCCATGTGGTTAGTCCTCTTCATAGGACCAAACTGATTGGTGAAATTGTGACATGCTGAACTGGTGGGCAGAATCACCCCTTGTGGTTGGTCCCCCTCACTTCATTAGGGCCAAACTAATTGGTGAAATCCCTGTCCCTAGCATATGTATTTGTACACACACCTATGGTGTGAGAGAAGGAACTGACCAAGCAATTGCCCGCGTAAAGACACATGCCCTAAGCGCTGCGAAAGCAAGAAAGATTTTGCAGCAATGGTAAGGGAATTGCACTGCTGGTTCTCACTTGGATCTTCCCAAGTGTGGTTTTTGCAACGAATGGGCCTGTGCTAGCTTCCGCGAGGTGCCAAAAGCAAAGGAGATGTCGCGGCCTGAGGTGAAATGTGAGGAAAAGCTCGGGATCTATGGTTTCGCGTTTGGGGGCATGAGGCATGTTTTTTGGTCATCACGGTCTCATGATTTAACTCATGCCTGGACCATTCTGGGAAAGGTCTCAAAACCTGAAGAGACACAGCTGAAAGAAATCAGCAGAGGCGCCAAACTGCACGAAACGGATGTCCTCAGGTTTGAGACCGCCAGCGACATCATAGGCGGATGGGGTGGGCCCTGTCCGGAGCTCGAAGTGTGCTTTGAGACCTGGGCGGAGGCTATGACCTGCTTGACCGTTGCGTGAACGGCCCGAAGGAGGCGGCTGACAGATTCTTTGCAGAACATATGAACCCCAACCACCCGAAACCCCAAATGGAGCCCGGAAGTTCGGTAGGAAAGCCAACGGCAGGAACTCGACAAGACCGCCGTTTCTCAACCTGCGATCTTCGTGGCATCCATGGTCCGGGCCCAAGAGGAAGCGTCACTTTTCTCCAGGTCTACTTCCAGAAGTTCGGCGTACTTAGGGTGCACGCTAAGGCTCGTTATGTTCTCAGAAGTTGTGAATTTCCAGCAGAGTATTCTCATGCTAGTTGCACATCCCGAAGCCAAAAAACCTACTGAATTCATAGGTCCACAGTTCAGGGTAACCCAAAACCCTGAACCTTAAGACCTGCACCCTAAGTCCCCAAACCCAGGCGGCGGTGGAAAAGCTTCGGTTGGAGGACCCGGCTGCTATCGACGAAGCCACGGTTGTGAGGGCCCAAGCTTGCTGAGTTGTTTCACCAACTGAATCCTTTCGGATCTTACTTGTGTGTGCAGACAGATCAATCGATGGATGGATAGATAGACAGATGCGATAGATATATCGACAGGTCGGTTGTTGTTCTTCTTTCTCGCGTTCATGGTTCAATCCATGGGTTCGCTCATGTGTTTGTTTGAAGATGCATGTGCTTATCTAATCTTGTCGTTTACGTCTCACGTGCTTACTATTCATGGTTCAGGGTTCCTTTATGCTACATACTGAAAAGAGTTTAGCGGGAGAAAGCCCTGTTACACTCCCTGACATAGAGCTATACAAAGCCTGTAGGACAGGCAGGAGCATCAGAATGCAGATCGAGATCAAGATGGATATATAGACAGGCATATCCACAGGTCCCCAAACCCCAAGCATACAATGTAAGCCCTAGCCCTAAACCCTCAGCCGATAGATATTAAGATGCGGTGGCTGGCAGAGTCAAGCTGAGGCCATGGGGCTTTCCCTGGGGGAGTACAGCCTGGCTCCAAGCCATGGAAGCAACTTCACGTGCCTGATTTCGAGCTAATTTACACTTACGGTTTGGGGGTATACGGTATAATGACAACATTGACATGGGGAATAAAGCGGCATGGATGTATCAATTTTGCAACCCAATTCCATGCTTCGAGTTTAGGGCTCAGCTGAATTCAGCCAGGGCAAGGTGCAACAACACAGCCATGCAAACAGCAGCGATCTTCTGAGAAGGCGCCATGTGCACCTTCGGCATCGTCACTGCCTAGAACGGAACTTCGATGTGCAAGCGAAAGACAGCATGCTTGGTTTCCTTGTTGTCCTGGACTGCAGGTGCTTTGAGTTTTGCTGGAGCACTCAGCCCCTCGCCTCAGACAGAAGTGAGCAAGTCTCATTCATTTGTTGCAGGCTGTGATGTGGCTGTGGTGCCTGTTGTGGATGTAGTTGTTGTTGGTGGTGGTGGAGCTGGTGGTGCCAGTGTTGGTGGTAGAGGTAGTGGAAGTGGAGTGGAAGTCCCGGTGCTTGTGGTAGTGCTAGTAGACGTCGTCGACGTGGTACTAGCAGCAGCAGTTGTGGTGCTGCTGGTGGTGTCGTGGGCAGCTGTGCGGGAGGGATAGGCTCCATGTCCTATAGAGAAATGCGGCGTGGTCAGCTGATCGTAGAAGAATGCATGCCTAAGCAGAGAGCCTGATGCTGCGATCGTCAAGCATTCCTGTATACTGTGCTCGTTTGACCACTGCCGATCTTCTTGGCCCTCCTCAAGAACTGACAAGCATGCGCCGCAAGAAAGCCTTGCCAGCTGTACACACGAATCATACGAACCTATGGCAGCAGTGTACTGTGGGGCAGAAAAACATTTGAATCGAAGCACTAAGAAAGTCCAGCATCATCTTGTAGACCACAGAAGCACTTGGCGTTTAGCCATTTGGCCAGCGCGGGCCATGCTCGCGTGGTTTTTCTGTGGGCTGCTACCTGTCACGGTGCTGCAGATTGCTGCGGAGGCCTGGAATTTAGATCTCGTTTGCGTTTGCTTGGAGAACTGGGCGCAGGCTGCATGCTGAGGTGAACTTCGAAGAACTAGAGAAGTTCTGTGAGCACCAAGTGCCACAGGGGTTACGTGCATCCACTGCGGCTGCAACCTGCGTCAGAGGCAAATGTCCCCGTACCGCAGCCTGTGCCAGTGCCACAGCCGACGGAGACAGAAGGAGAAGAAGAGGAGGCAGGAGGCATAATTCGGAGAGTCGGGCTGGGCACGCAGTCACCTCATTTTTGCCGGTTACGGCCCAAAACTGTATGTTCATCAAACACTGCACTGTACAGGCGCATGTTCACGTAGACTTATCTGCACGATGATACTGAATGCGGTACCTGTAGTACACACAATGCAAAGCTCGTGCATTTCGCCATTTGTGCTGCTTGCTGCTGAAGGACCTGCGGCTTTCACCCACAAGCGAGATGACAAAGCCAGATTTGTGGCACCTGGACTGCAGCGGAGTGCCTTTCCCATGGCATGCAGTTGTCACAACATGTCTGGCTACAGGTGTCCACTGGAGGCATTGTGCACATTAGCAACCTCAATTCGGCCCTCTAACCCGCAATCCTAGACCAGCCAGTGGCACTTCCGCCTGCCCTGCACTTCAGCTTCGACTCCTGTGGAGCGCTCCAGATATATTAAGGAAGCAACCTTTAGGCTTCAACTTTGAGCGACCTGATCTGGGTAGCGGAACGGGGTTTGGTCTCTGCTCAGGTATATCTTCTTGCAAGCAGATGCCAACGATGATCAGAAGCTCTCCAAACCGGAAGCTTGCCTGCCGCCTCAGCCTTGCATTCCTCCAAAGAGAAGCACATCTGGTGTTTCCATATCCGTACCCATGTTCATGCCCATGTCAAAATCTACATCGAAAATCGATATCTGTATCCATATCCATATCTACATCTGTGCAAAATCAGTAGGTCGTATTGGCCAGAGTATCTATACAAAGAATTAGTTGCGTATGTATGTATATAATACACACATATGTAACACACGTACATAAGTATATGAGATCCACATTCGGGCTCAGGAGCTTTTCAACTTTGCGGCCTGGCCCTCGACCAGCAGCGGAAGTGAGTTCCGGAGAGTGGCCTGGTTCTAAAATCCCTCGGAGGCCCACTACAAGGAAGAAATTGAGCGGGCCACCTACTCGAAGGTAGATCCCAACGCCGACCTTGACAAGGACAGATTGCCTCGGACAAGATACTAGCTAGCTAGCTACCTACCTACCTACCTACCCACGTACATACGTATACACACATGCATACGTACATACTTACACACGTCTGCGTGTATTCATGTACACACAGAGATAGACATACTGTGTATGTACTCGTTTATTCACGGGTTGAGTTAAAGGCGCATGCATATGCATGTTAGAGAGCCTTGCACGGCGGAGCGGTGCCACCTGTGAAGGATGGCGCTCTAAGCAAGGAAGAGCTGGAGAAGTACATGGCCACGTCGCCCGGACGACATCAGCCAGCGGGGCATGCAAGGTTTAGAGTTTCAAGATCTTGTCGCAGTGCCCTGCATCGTCCAGGTGGGAAATAGAAGAATTTCCTCAAGAGCTGGAGAGAGTCAGAAATTTGGAACGGGACCGCTTTGCTCAGATTGCGTGTGTCCTGCGTCGTTCCACTGCAGATACCGCTTTGCCCCGAGCTGTGACGTTGCACCTTGCTGTTTGGGGTGTCCGGGCGGTGTGCAGGAGAAGTTCAAGCTTGCCGATGCCGATGGCGACGGCAAGCTGCAGGGTGAGGAGACGAGATTGGCGAGATGTCTCTTCTTACACATGCATCGCTTGGCAGTGAGTGCCGCTTCACATCCCGGAATCCCTGAACCCCGAAGCCCACAGTCGTAATGCCCGAAGACACTACGCCGGAAAGAGGAGTTGGTGGCCATGTATGGCCACGGCATTGACGAGAAAGTCTTAGAAGCAGAGGCGAAGTCTGCCCTCTCCGTCAAAGATATGGACAAGGCAAAGCCCGCTTTTGCTCTGAATGAGGCGCTTGGATATTTGGGACGGATTTCAGATAGCGGCTTCCTTTTGGCAGTCCTTCTGCTGGTAAGGCAGCTTAATGGGATCCTTGGAAAGTAGATAGAACAGTGCCCACGTCAGGGCCGAAAGGGCTCCTTTTCTGATTGTTGTTGATGCCTCGATCTCGGAGACTGAGCAGAGCAATGCCAGCAGGGTTTGCACCTTAAGCCGTTCGGCTTGCTCGCAGGATGGGAAGCTTTCGCTGAAGGCACGCCTGCAGCTTTCTCGGCTGGCGCAGCACCATCCAGCGCAGGCGACAGAAGGCTGGGTAAGGCGAGCCCTGCACAGGAATTCTGGCATGACTATCTGCGGCCGGATGACGACCATGACCACGATGAAGACCCTCGTGATCGCAACGTCACCTTTGCCGCCCTGGATAGCCACTCTTCCCTTAATTCCAGCTTGTCTTTTCTCTTGCTTCTCGTATTCCCAAATTGCATGGTCCGTGTGCTGTTCAAGCAGCACGGGTAGCTGTCCCTTTTTGTGGAGGAATCTTGCTACTTCCCGGGCTTCCGTTCGGCTCTTCTTGAGGTAACGAGGATGGCTCTGTCGACCTACAAGAGCTCATGATCTGGGAGAGTGGGCTCTTCTTCCTTGAGGAGGCCATTGATGGCGCAGCTTGCTCGCAATGGAAAGCGCTTAGTAGGATCAAGACTGCAGGTTTCGGATAGAAGGCGGAATCCTTGAAAAACCCAAAAGCCTAAACCCCTTTTGAGTCTGCCGGCCCCTCAGATCCTGCACTTCGCCGACCGCGATGAAGATGGAGAAGCCGGGTTTCAGGAGTGCTGCGAATGGCTTGGGATGTCGGTTTTTTTTTGTTTTAGGGTTTGTTGTTCTGTTTTCAAGAATTAGTGAGTTGCCGATGTAGGGCTTGGGGCTAAGGGCTGCAGGGCATCGATGTCGGCTGTATAGTTTCTCTGCGTTACTGCAGGAGCTCGTGGATGCATGGCCGGAGATTGAAGAAGTAGGCCAGACACGTCGGCATCGGCTATCAGCCTTCACCCGTGGGAATTGGCTGGGGCTGGAGACGGGCAGGCGTTCAGCTGCCGCTGCGCGGAATCTTTGCCCGCGCACTTGGCGAACACGAGGATCTTCGGGCAAGGGATTTGGATGTTTTGCATCATCTGTTGCAGGATCGGAGCAGTGCCAAGTAAATGAAGCATAGACACTTCAGTAATTATCGGCCTGGCTCGTGTGACCATGTGATACCGTTCTCGCCGTACTCGGACTGGTTCCTACCGTGCCCAAACAGAGCCACATCTCATGTTCCAAACCAGCCTGGGCTGAGGAACGCAAGGGGTTCTGAATATTCTAAACATGCCCTCCGAGTTTTCTGAAGCCCCCACGTGAAGTCCTACGTCTCCCGGTGCAGCTTTCGACTTCTGCGACAGGGCGCTCACGACTCGGAACTCTGAGAGCCGCAAGTAGCCTCGAAGTTCATGAAGGCGGAGTCATCTGAGCTCCACGCACATCTGCATGCTCTAACATATGCATGCATGCATGTTTTTTTAGAACAAATGCAGACATACATAGGTGCAAGTAAGTGTAGAAAGATCTTAAATAGATAGATGGTTGGATGGTACTGTAGCCGAACAGACGGCTTGATGGATAGGTGGTTGGTTATGTGGCTAGATGGGATGGATCGATGGATGGATGGACGGATAGATTGGTAGGTAGATAGGTAGATAGACAGATAGACGGTTTGTGTAATGCTTACATTGTGCTGACAGCTTGGTGTGCTCCGTTAACTGTGCTACCACCCGGACGCCAAAAGCTGGCTCTGCACAGCGTTGGGGGATGGGATGGTGGCAGTGTCAGGATGAGGGTTGGGTTGTGCATCCTTCAAGCTGCATGCTAAGGCTTCGAGGACGGCGTGAAAATTACGAAGGTTCGTGGCTCCCAGCTCAGAGTCTTATGATCCTGGTTGTTCTAGTTCTGAGCCCAGACCCTCAAGAGAAATCATCGAAGAAGACATTGAATAATTGAATTGAATAGAGGCATCCGCCACGATGAATCGAGTGTGCATAAAGCTCCCAAGCCAACCAAGCGACCACCCCTTGCTCCAAGCCCAGGTGAGGCAATGCAGGCGGCTGCCGACGCTGTAGAGTCCGGAATGGTCAGTGTAATAGGTGCGAGGCTTACAAGGGATGCAAAGAACAGGAAAGCTGTGTAGAAGCTAACAACCGTAGAGCGAGGAAGCCTCGCATGCACACCACTGCCGCGAAAGTCGTTGCCATGTGTTTTGTCCTCATGAAATCCCGACAAAGGGTCAACCTGACTCAGGTCTGGATGCTGCAAAGACAGAAGCGCTCTGTGCCAAAGCATCCGAGGATTCTGGAAAGAGGCTGCTGGGCCAAGGTTGAAGTCAAGAGCTTGCACTTTAGGGTGTACGGCAGCGTAAGGTCTAGATTTGAGTAGGTGAAACCAATGTCCTCGTGCTGAACGTGTGTGCACTTTTGGGAACCGTAGCCTTCGCACACACTGCACTCCGATGGCTCAGGGTTCAAGTCGCCAATTACCTGTGCAAGGGAAACTACACCGCCGCGGACTCAGAACGAGCTGGATCAAGCTTCGAACGAAGTGCATGTAGTGCCGACGTTGACTGGACGTCTAGCTTGCACATCTGGCGGAAAGCAGGTATCTGGTGACAAAGAAGCATGCGCCAAGCTTGCAGAGATTGCCAAGCCGGAATTCAAGGCTTGGCATCAAACCTGCCTCTGTCATGACGGAAGTTGCACACTCCGGGATCCCGTCTGCTGAAATCGGAATGCACCCCAGCTTCCGTTGCCACTTATGGTTTGAGTGAAGCTTCGCCAGTCTTGTCAGATTTCTGACGTGACATGCTCTAGACTCTAAACCTCTCTAAACTCTAGACCCCATGAGCTGTTGCAGGCAAGAATGGCAGTTCCCTTGGCGGTCGCTGGGGCCTTCCACACAGACTTCATGGCCTGAGCCTGACCTGGCGATACCGAGTACTCTTGGTCAAGCCTCGTTTGTGTTCCGAAGTTAGTTTGATTTCGAGGGTTTCACTTCGAGGCATCTGTTCTCCCTTGAGTCTATCACACCAAGAAGGAGCCTGAAAAGGGGCCCCATGTGACATGCTGTTCCTCCCTCACCCGACCAGAGTTGAGCGACGAGTGGCAAGTGAGAGGCCAGGAGGACTCGATGGGTGACTAATACCCCTCAAAGCTATGCCAGCTCCAAAGACAGGAGACCACGAAAACTGGTGAAATCGCACATGCAGCACTCGACCCACTACCCGATTGGCTCGCCTCCTTCTCAACCCCTCTGGCAGAGACACCACAAACCCCCCCAGCCATTGCGTACCGTGGCCGTCCTTGTTGCTTTGTCGCAGAGGCTCCCGCCGTGGCCAAGCTCGAGGAAGTGCTGGCGAGTCCAGCTCTCAGCTGGCTGTCGAAGAGTCCCCTTTTCTTCTCAGCCTGAAATCTCTACCGACAAACTCTCTTAGACTCACACCCTAGCCGCCATGAAATTGCACCTGGATCGGAGGCATCAAAAATCAAATGGAGATTTCTGTCAGGTGTTGATCTGAAGAAGCCCCGGATTCCTGTGGTGTCCAATGTCGATGCCAAGCCTGATCCTGATCTTTGCTGGTAGAGGGTTCCTTTTTTTGTGCATGGGGTTTCGTAGGTTTTCGAAAAGGGCTTCGTGGGGCTTTGGAAGGTTTGGAACCAAGGCGGTGTTTAGGGCTCCTGAGGTGTTGTTGCGTTTGTATTCGGGTGTCATTGTGGGAAGAACAAAGCTACGAAGTATGCCCGTATGCCCAGGTCGCACTCCGATCCGGAGATGATCAAGGCATTGTTGAATCTGGATCTGTGGTGCCGTTAGGGTGCGCGCAAAGTTCGATCCTGTCGGCGCAGGCCATCCTTGCGAAGCAGGTCACAGCGCCTGTGCAGAAACTTGGCTCAACTGGAGCACCTCCGCACGCAGCATGTGTCAGCACAGCACGTAGCAGATGACTTGGGGGCAATGGAAAAGGGGATGTTCGTGAAGTTTGTTCCACTCGTGACTGAAGGCCACATGTTGATGTTTGCAAAGTGAATCTGAAGCCAAAGCTGCACCCGGCAGCAAAACCAAAGCATACGCCATTGGCGTGCTGCCCTGGCAATCGACCAAAAACCGATTAACGTCCGTGCTGCTGGTGGTAACCCCTGAGCTTTTGCATCAGCTGCAGTATCAAGGTGGGAAACGCAGATGAAGGAGCCGCGCCTCTGACTGCGGATCCTCGTTCTCCGTTCGAACATGCACAGCACCCCGGGAGTGAGGAGGGCATTGGTTTGGTTTGACTGTAACAAACCCAGCTAAACTTGCAATGATACCAGATAGAGTTCCAACCACAATCGTGTTTCGAATGAGAATGAGACTAGCAAACCAGCAATGTTTGTAGTAAGGGCTGTAAGAGTGAGAAAAGCAGATTATACTACGACAGTCAAGTCATGACAACGGGATTATCAAGCTTGATGGTAACAATCAATAACAATGACAGCAGCAGTCTGAACGATGCATTGGCTTGTGTGCTTGGACATTCAGACCATTGTGGTAGCAGTGGCAGTAGCAGTAGCAGGAGGAGGAGCAGCAGCAGCCGCGGCGGCCACAGTAGGACCAGTAGCAGTGGTAGGAGCAGTCGCAGTGGCAGTGCAATAGTAATAATAGTAAGAGGTCAAAGCATGGATGTCTCAGAACCCGGCACCGCAGCGCTGCGCGTGTGGCAAACATCTGGGAACCAAGTGGCCGCCATACCGCTCGAAGTGATGCGGCAGATGAAGGATGTACGAGGGCTGAAGAAAAGATTAGAGGGTGTGTGCGGTCTCCCCAGCTTCCGGCAGCAGCTCCTGCATGACGGGGCAGTTTTGGACGACGAGACCAAACTAGCACGGCTGGAACTTCCTGTCGATCTACAGTTGGTTTTGCTGAGCTTCGGTTCCGTATCTCAGAAGCAGAGGAATGAGTTCAGCTTCGCCGTTGCCAGAGGACGAACGTCTGAGGTTCAGAGGATGCTCCAGAGCCCCCAGGATCCCGACCTGGCCGATGAAGCCGGCGAAACACCCCTCCTGGTGGCCACGAAACATGGTCATGCAGAAGTTGCACTTCTACTCTTGGAGGCGGGAGCTGATGTCAACTTACCCAACCGCCGGGGGTGGACAGCTCTCACCCGCTCATCTGCGGAGGGGCGCGTGGATTTCGTGCGCTTGTTGTTGGAGGCTGGAGCTGACACTGAATGCGCCGGCGGCGAGTCGAACGAAGCAGCAGCGCTTTTCCAGGCTGTTCAGCATGGGCACGTGGGAGTCGTTCGGTTATTGCTGGGGTCCCGCGCCAATGTGGCCCTGAGGAGCAAGTCTGACGGTCAGACGCCTTTGACGCGCGCGTCCCTGAGTGGACACACGGAGATAGCTTGCTTACTTCTGAAGTCACGGGCGGAGGTGGATGCTGCCGACGATTGCGGAGCCACGGCGCTTATGTTTGCATCTAGTCGAGGCAATGCCGACATTGTGAGCCTTCTTCTGGAGGCAAGGGCTGGCAAGGACATGGTCACCACTCGGGGAACCCTTTTCTTATCCAATAAGATCGGCCAGACCGCGCTCATTCAAGCCTCTTACGCTGGCAGACTGGAAGTCGTCCGATTACTGTTGCGCAGCCGGGCTGACACAAAGATGATGAATTGCCTTGGTGAAAGTGCTCTTTCCTGTGCAACGCAGCAGGGCCAGACGTCTGTTGTGCAACTGCTACGAGCCAGCAACGCCCCTTAGGCAACGTGGTCTTGCTTCCGAAAAAGTTCGCTGAAGCCATATCCGATAGCACTCTGAGTCGGTCTGAACTGCAACTGACAACAGTAAATGCCATTCACAGTCTAAGGATGACTATGGCTACGATGAAGAATAGCAATAATCGCCGCAGCGATAAGGCCGAACCCTAAAACCCCCAAACCCTGAAGCCCCAAAACCCCGGAACCCCTAAACCTCAAAGCCCCCAAAAGCCCTCCTTCCTTGGTTCCCAGGGTTTCGGATTCTGGCTCCTGGGAGGAGCTCGCCGGATCTGGGAGCTTCGAGCGTGGCTTCGAGTGTGGGCCCGGAAAGGCACCGAGGGAGAAGTTTGCATCTGCCGGTTCCGGGCGACTTTAGCCGTTTCAAGGGTTTTTTAGGGGGGTTTAGCACGAGTTTTGGGGGAGTTGTTAATCTTTTGTTTGTATGGTGTCTGCTGCGTGGCATCCATGGAGCTGCAATGGAGTTTTTTTGCAGGGTGTTGCGCAGTTCACAGAGCTTTCTGGCGAAGGGTGTCGGGACTCCAGGTTTCCAAGATTCTGGGGTGGCTCATAGTGGTCAGTCACTCCGTTCGATGTAGTCAGCCTGGCGACAAAGCACAGGCACGGTTCTGGTATGTGCAATCCACCTGTCTTTGAGGTCATTGCGGGCATCATGAAGCGCATCGACAAGCCGCGCGAGCTGCAAAGAGAGCACGGCTTGCAGGGTTCGATCCCTTCTTCAGCCCTGGGAGGAGCGCCGCTGCGAACGTGACAGGTGTTCAAGCTTGATTCTGATCGCGAGTAGGGTGAAAAGTTATCTGTAACTAGCAACATGCGCTCTTGAGCCGGATCCAATCCCGCATCGTCCTGCTTGTGGTATCCCTCTTTGCCAGAGTGCACAAACCCCAGCAAGCACAGACTGCAAAGCGAAGTGTCCCATCAATCGGCGCTGGAGCAGCCGACTTCGTGGTTTGAAACTGCGGAGTCGGCTCCAGGATACTATTGGTTTATCAGATGTCCACACTGGTGTTGCGCCTGAGGCATCTGTGAATTCATCTTTTCCTGATATGTTGGCCGTCTAGGCCATCCTTCTCCAAGCCCTGAGCACGAAACGTTTGTGAAAATGAAAGGAGTCCGAGCTGACCTCTATCTAAACCTCGACCCCTGGTCTGTGATCATCACTTCTTCGGTGCGGCGGAGCCACGGTGACGAATGAGATGCGGGAGTGACACATGCAAATATACACAAGTTGCATGCACACATACTGTATATATACATACATATACAAACACATATACATATGTGTATATATGCATATACATGTGTACATATGTACATGCAGATGGTATGTTGCAAGATGCATCGGCCGCCATTTGTGAGCGCATCGATTATTTATGTGTTTGTGCCGCCGCGATTTGCAGTTTATGCCAGGCTTTCGAATCTTGAAGCAGCCCAGTCTAGACTACAGCACATGGAGTCTGACCTTGAAGACAAGAACTACGTAGAAACAGCCAACTTGTCCGATTCCACACTTTCGCAGCTCTTTTCACAAAACGGAATCCTAGCCCGTCGCCACAAAGGGACCTTGGCACAAAGTCATGATGCCAAGTGACACCTAGCCATTCAACCCCCACCGCGCGATGCAAGCAGATGAGGTGGGGCTCTCAAAGCGCTCCACCGGTCTCGAACAAGTCAGCTTCAGACGTCCCTGCGTCTAGATATCCTCTAGGGGATGTCACACGTATTAAAGTAACCTTTTGTGCGTCCCGTAAAGTAACCTTATGGTATCCCGTGCCGTATCCCTAGTAGTGGTTCAACTCTGCAGGTGGGCCAATCTGTCTACGACCTCGGAGAGGACCGAAGGGACTTCAGGGTTACGGTTCTCATTGGGTTTGGGATTTCGGATGTTTGCCTCCTGCCTTAGAGGTGTAGGTGAAGTCTCTTTCCTGTCCATTTAGGGTTAAGGGACGTGTAGGACTTCGTGCCTTCCAGGATGAACAACTCGCTCTGGCGATGCAGCTGAGAACCCAGAACTCGTTCAGCACGTGATGGTGGGATGGACTGAGAAAGTCTCGAGCTTTCGCTTGAGTTCACGGTGTCAGGGCTTAGGGTTAAGGTTTGCACTTGGGGGGGAGTGGTGTTCCAAATTTCATTGGGTTGCCGGCAGCACAATCTCAGCACTCATGCAGTATGCAGCTGGCACCATATATATATATATATATATATATGGCAGCGGGTCAAAACCTTCTGGTTTGTAACAGGGTCGGGGCGCCCCTCGCGCGACAAAGTTGGTAACAAAGATGTTTTGTTTTGCGACAGGGCTGGCGCGACAAGGTCCCTCATATAGCGTTGCCGCGCGACAAAGGTTTAACAAAGCCGGCGCGACAAAGCTTTGTAACAGAGGTGGGGGGTGGGGTCCCGCGACAACACGGGGTATTGACCCATCCCCATAAATATATATATATATATATAGGTAGATATAGATGAATCTGTCTCTGTGTGTGTGTGTTTGTGCGTGCGTGTGCGTGTATAATACACACACACATAATGTGTGCAATGTATATATATATATATGTGTGTGTGTATGTACATATATATATGTATATATATAAATATCTCAGTATTATGTTGATCACTACTACTAGTATTCTTATTACAGATTACTACTATTCCTATTACATATCAAATGTGGAATATTGTATTGATTGGATGTATTCGGGCCCTGGCTCCAGGCAATCACTCGCCGAATCCTTGGAGGACGAGCCCGGCGCGTGTCCCGATCCGGACTCGGCAGCTGGGGCCCGGGCCCTGGGCCTTGACAGTTGGGGTTTGCTTTCGTTGAGGGTTTAAGTTTAGGGATTTAGGGTTTAGGGATTTAGGGTTTGGGGATTTGGGGTTTAGGGATTTAGGGTTTAAGTTTAGGGATTTAGGGTTTAGGGGGGGGCTGATTCCTTTCTGGTGACATGGAGCTGCTAAAAGGTCCCTAAACCCTGGTCGCCTTGCCTCAGTGATTTTAGGTATTCCCGGGCGCCGCTGCGGATGCGGGGTGGCAGTCTTAGCATCCAGCCGCTGCGAAATTCAGAGGGGACCTTGTGCTGTGCTCGGCTGATGGCCAAAGTGGAAAGCAACATTACATGGTCTCAGTAGCTTCAGCTGACTTCTGTGCCGCCGAGGTTGGCGCCTGAGACGGAGGCCACCACTGGAATGTGGACACCCTGACCTTCAGAGGTATTTGTCCATCGCGCTGACAGGCCCCCGAGGAGGTTCTGGCGTCACCGGCGCCCGTGCCAGGCTTCGGAAACAGAGCTTGCACACGAGTGCAGGTGTCGTAGCATGTGAGACGGGCTGACTGGGATGCACCGTCGACTCAGCTTCTTTGTCCTACTTCGGCTTCGAAGGCGGCTGGGAAGGAGTGTTGCCTCCGCCGGTGGCTCCACCCGCACCGGAGGGTGAGAGGCGCGAGGTCCTGGAATGGCCTCGGAAGCTTGCAAAGCTCAGCGTGTCCTGTCCGGTCAGGGACTTTCATGCCAGCTCCAACGATCCCGAGTGGGCGGGCAGCTCGTGACTCAGACCGTAAGTTTAGGCACAGGATGTTTCTAGCAAGGGAGTGCATGGCACCTCCGCTTTCGTAGTGGTGCTCGGCAAATCTAGCTGCCAAAGCTTCATGTGCTTTGCCGATGCGATGAGAGGTGCTGCCGAGGAAGCAGCAGGTGGAACAGCCTGCTGCTCAGGGCCATCCCAGTCCCTGCACGTACTGCTCCTCAGTGTCAGGATGAGGATGATATTTTCTTCGGCCTGTGTTTCCACAAATGATAGCTGACCTCTGCTTCCGAAAGATAGGATCTGCGGAGACCTGCTTCAACTTGGCCTGCAGGTCCAGGTGACGCAACCACCTCGGCCACCGCCACCTCAACGCCAGCCACCCAGGTCCTTTCATGTTTGCTCCGGCCTGGTTCAGAGGCACGAAGGTTCTGGGCTACGTGGCAAGAGCGTTCGCTGCAGGTCCGGGCGGTTCCGGTGAAGCTTTCGCCAAGCAGGCCTCATCTACACCCATGCAGCATGCAAGGTTGCCGGAAGCAAGCACAAGAGCGTCTTAGCACAAAGTTTGAGTAATTGGTTAGAATTGGTAACGGAAGATAACGGAAGCATCTTCATCCTCTCAATTTGCGAAGCGTGTAGGCGCCGCCCAGACCGCAGCCGAGACCGGCTGCGAATAGCAGACTCTTGGATGAGGTGTGGATTCATTAGCTGGTGGATCCGTCGCATGCAGCACTCAGATATCAGGCGCATGCTTGGCACCTTTTCTGCTAGGGGCGTCGTGCTTTCCGCAGCCATCACAGACAACATGAGTCAGTTGAACAAGCACCGCTTGGATCGGTACATCCAATACGCAAAGCTTCCTGGCGTAAAGCTTCAGCATTACATCGTCTTTAGCATCGGAACCTTGACCTTTCGGCCTGACAGAGGCTTTGCACAAACAATGCAGGCGCACATTGACACTCCAAAGTTCTTTCGAAGCTGATGTTACCGCGTCGCTGCACCTGTGTGTGCCCGGGCATTGCAGAACCCAATGGCAGCAGGCGTGTGGTCAGCACGACCCTTTGTCACTGCTCCTGTGAAAACAGCCATCTGAATGGCCTCAATCCTTCCACTGAAGGTCATGGAGATGTCTGATCAACTCTCCTAGGCAGAGAATCCTAAACCCCTAAGCCTTCAACCTTAAAGCTTTAATGACATGTCAAGTGGACTTTTGCCTCTGCCTAGAGTACCTCAGCCGGCTTAACATTCGAGACTTTGCGGATCTACCCTAAAAGGGACCCTGATTTACAGAACTACCCATAATAAAGGGGCCCAAATAAATATCGAAATACTATTTTGGGGGCTCCTTATTTTAATTCTCGTACAATGGGCCCCAAAACCTTATCCTAAATATGAAGGCCCCTATATTACAGAACCCCAGTATCGATCCCTTTAAGGAACCCTACAAGGGACCTAGATGGACCTAGA